GCGAAAGTTTCGCGAAAGACGACGCGAAAGGATGACACTTTTTCGCTAACGTTGGCCAAATCTCAGAAAAGGAATTTTGAACAACCGTGCAGCTTCCACAGACACACAACGCAGTAGTGGATGGGCACGGCAGATACTAAACAAAATGCAGGGATGATATTTCAGTGCAAGACACACCCAGGGAATTGCTAAATACAGCTTGCAATCCCTGCCCCACCAACAGCAACAAATTCAAAGTTGCGCTCTAGACTCCACTGTCATTGAATCTCTGGGCCACCAGTCCTCGCAGAGATCTGCCCCAAGCATCCCCAAGCTATACACAACCATCATCTGGACCGCGTGCCCTGCATAAAACATACAAATGGGGACTGGTGGATTCAATTCCAGCACTGCTCAGGGATCTCGGGGTCCAGGGAATTGGTGCAAGAGCTGAGCAATCTGCTCCAGCATGCCATTAGATATGATAACGAAGGCCATAAACAGAAAAGCTGAAATCCAACTCATTACCTGGGAATCACTGAGCAAATGAGATCATGACATGCTCCCATTTTGCATAAATCATGCCAGTCTCCTTGGAGATCCATTGCTGATCTGTAGTCATGATACTAGGTATGTACTTCGTGGCTCATTTGCGCGATAGTTCCGACATGCTTGGCAGGCATCTAGGACTATGAGCCTGAGCGCGCTAGCCACCATCTTTTCAGCACAGTCGCAATCGGAAAATTGCAGGAGCCGATTTGTAGACCATAGACCAAAGTGCCCCGCGTTGGGATTCCCCAAGCTTCTCGAGCAATGTTATTATTGCTGCTTGGTGAGCCCAATGTTTTGTCAAGGTTGGGCAACGCTTCACTGAAGCACTCTTGTGGCTTCTCCTTTGAGCTCGGCCATGTCGTGCCAAAGATGCAGGACCTGGAATCTCGAGGACACAGACAGCCGCACAGCGCAAGAGGGAAAGAAAATGAGAGTGAGAGCTTCTCAAGGAGTGGCTGCGAATCGAATGAAGCTGGTACACTTGGACGCTCTTTTGGAGGAGGTCTGGGGCTGTGGCACTTCCAATGAAAGCTGTTGAGCTCACAAGCACAGGGCCCATCGTCTCTGAAGCGCATTGCTGCCTTCCTGGGTGCTGGCCAAGCAAACTACTCGGACTGGACTCCTCTTCAGCAGCGAGGCCGTGTGGTGGTCAATGAGGCCGACTTCTGGGAGGCCCACTCGAGGCCAGTCAAAAAAAGCGCTCTGAGTCATTCAGCATGCTGTGAAGGAATGGTGCCAGTTGCCTGAAGACATGGCAGGGCAACTGGAGCGTTTCTTGGCAGCGGGTGAGCATGTAGCGCGGGATGTTGCAAATCTGTCAGCAACCAATTTTGCCATTTTGCCACCAGGAAGACGAGATGCTGCAACGGACGGGCTGGCACAGATGTTGCGCAGAAACCAAGCCTCTTGGTTGATAAAATCCTGATTGCACAACTTGGTTGGCACACGTCCCTGTCACGTGCTGCAGTGGGCATGAGGAACCTGTGCCGCCATCTCTCCTGCAACCCGAGTCCTTACAGAAATATGCTTGCAGTCGTGCAATGGAGCTCAAAACCAATTGCAAGTGAGCACATTGTTTGGCATCATCTCCAGGAAGCAATATAAGTAGAGTGTGTCGTCATGTCGACATGCTGATAAGCTGATGTTTTTGGCGTATGCGCTTGAACATGGGCGCGGTCATGATTTGGGATGATTTGGACACGGACGCTCATCGGATGCGCTCGAGCATGGACCTCAGTCTAATTTGGGTATGGATGCATCTCACTTCCTGCACCTCGTCTTTTCTAGGGCCTAGGCACTGCCACAACATCTTGTCAAAACCAATTTCAGCTGGTACCCTTCAGCCTATATACAACAGCAATTTCAATGCGGACAGCCCCAGAATTTTTCTCGAAGCTAGATCATCAATTCTAGCCCGTGGCGTATTCATCTTGTGGATATTTTTGGTAATCCTTTGGGCGTGTTTTCGGCAACACACTGGCAGAGGGACCATCTGGTCCTTTTCAGCAATGATACGACGGCATGCAGATCCCATACAACGATTTGCAAAATAAGAAAACCAAAAACGCTACAATACCAATCATGCTGGTGACAAGGCGAACGACTGGGCCTGGCAAGATTCATCGACCTTTTAAATATATCCCTGTCAGCTTTTATTATAATAGAATAGAGCCCTCTGCGGCTGAATTTCTTCATCATAGATCATACGATACGCGTTGCCAGATCTATGAGGAATCTGAGGCATCTCTATGAAAGACCGCATTATTTATCGAAAGATTTCCTAGATTCTGCCTATCACCAAAATCGTTAATTCTATTGACGGATATTTTATGGATGCGAAAATCTTTTATTCATTATCGATCGATATTTCGAAATCATATATTGGAAAGATATTTTTTAATAGACATATAATTTTCTGAAATTTGATATTAATCATATTGAATTTCTTTTATGATTTTCAATCTTTTTCATATATATTTCTATTAATAAATATTGACGAGAATTCGTGCGATTCTGATACGAAATCGTCTAAGAGATTTCTTTTTTTTTCTAGATATTCTTAATATATTCTAAAATTTCAATAAAAATTAAAAATAGAAAAAAAATAAATAAAGAAAAGATTATTGAATTATATTGGCAACGAAGAAAAATATTGGACACTTCGTTGAATAATATTGATCTCCTCATTTCTCTCTTATTGATTTTATCATTTAAATTCTGAATTTTTTGAAAATTTCTTCATGAAATTATTATTTAGATATTTAAGTTTTAAATAGAAATTCTAATATTATGAGCATTATTTTTGAATTTTTTTCGAATATCTATATTTAAATAATATGAAATTAAATCTTTTCAACAAAATATAATAGAGCGATTGATACGGAAAATCTTCATGGCATCACTATCGAAAGGTATTATATTTATGATTTTGATTCGGCAGCTAGTATCTAGAATTTATTTATAATTTTGAATATATCGTTTCTTAATTCGATTTCGCCGTTATTTATTATTAATGATTGATAACCCCCCCCCCCCCCCCCCCCAATATTAATATGAATATACAGGATTATCTAGCAATATTTCACCATATACGATATAACGATTGATATAATATTTTAGATACCATTTTGAAAGGAATAAAAAAGAAAATATATGATTCTTGGGTCTGGCGTAAGCAGGCGATATCCTAAATCCTTTCTAGATCATTGATCCGACTATCTACTATTTTTCTCTAAATTCATCAATGCGATATTCAATAATTCTGATTTTCTTTATTTTTCTTTTATATTATACGAATTCCGTCATTATTATCATCTTCATAAATATTATCATCATTCAAAAACATATAATTATTTTTTTTTATCGATAATTCGTATTGAATATCTACTAGCATATTCTATATAAATCGATTTCCTAATTTTTCCGCTTATATATTTCTCCTCCCTAATCATTTATCTTTTTCTTCCATTTATTGAATAAGTTCCTAAATTTATATATTCATGTCGAATTAATAATAGGCAGGCGACTATTCGATCTACGCTTAATTAATACCTTAGTATCTTATTACGCCGAAATTACGATAATTTGATTGATAATATCTTTTAATCGATTCCGATCATCTAAAATAAATGACGAATTTCAGAGATTAATTTGCAAATACGTACTAAATCCATCAAGTGTTGCGGTATATAAAAAGATTGAAAAATAAATTTCAAAAATATCGACAATATTTATTCCGGCTTCTTTATAAAAAGATAATTATTCATAGATCTATCGAATTCATTAGGGATCAATCTTCCAAAAAATCTTCATTTTTAGAAGACCAATCTAAGAAAACGTGCGCAGACGGAAGGCAGAAGAAATCCGTAATAACCTTTTATATCAATCCTAGAGTAGGCCGTTGCTAATAACAACGGAACATCGTCGTTGATATATATTCGTAAGGGCAAACTAACTGACGGAGAAGAAAGCAACACGTGCAATTCCAAATCCTATTTCCTGATATTTTGATATCCTCTATCCTGAATATGCGTTGATATTTTGAAGTGGAGGCCTACCGAGCTAGTAGCAACTGAGAGAACTACGTATTTAGAAGCATTATCGCATTTATTAAATTGTCTTTCAAGAATCAAGTGCCCATGAGGAATTCCTGATGAGACGGGTTTATAGATTAGAGCTCAAAAATTTAGAAAAGTATCTCAGAGCCTACCAATGTTTTCCCAAATAATTCGATGCGATATATTTCTATTTCCGTTAGACGTACCCATATATATAAGTCTTCACGGATATAAGAATTTTTAATTTCAAATTTAAAATCGGAATCGTGATGCGACTCTATTTCCTTAATTTGTCAAAGCTGAGCACTCTATTCTTTAATATTCCGCGCAAACCCGTGAAATAGTTGCCTGCTTTGAAAGAGCATCATCAGCTAATAATAATAAAAAAATCCTTAATATAGCAGGCAATTTGCTATAAATGCTCCACTATTTTCCGCGATATTAAATTCATCGAAATCCTAATTTTTACCGTCCCTTTTGATTCGTTTATTGCAACTACTAAAAATCTTAGATTTAATTTGAAAATTTCCGGAAAAAAAAATAAGCTATATATTTTTAAAGATTTTAGATTTCTATCTCGGATCTTCCTTAGACAATCAGAGGGAGAAAAATATAATTCGATATCTCAGAAGATTTTTTTTAGTCGTGCATCTCAAAGTCTCCGGTCCACGCCTACCACTTCATATATCTTTCTTCGGTTAGTGGGTTAATTATTACGCAGCGGCTCGATATGCCCATAGCTACATATCGACCAATCTATAACTGCTAAGAAATTTGGGTTCTCCATCCTAGGTTTACCCATTCCGTCGACCAGCCGCGCATTCAGTCAAAAAGAGATGAATCACGCGGTAGGTCGCTGCGGGGGAGTGCCCAAGAGCCGCCCCCGACGAAAAAGAAAGAAATAACTCGAAATCTTTTATTCCCGCAGCCCACGGTCTCCGGCTTAGAATTTCTCCTTGATATATCTCGCCTGGGCTAACTGTTGCGCGGGGGATCGGGGGAACGCATGACAAACGCGGCAATCCTGTGTCTACACATTTCGCCGAGCAGCCACGCATACAGCCAAAGCGAGAGATAAATCACGCGGAAAACCGTTCCCTGTGGAAGGGCCGTGCGACCAAAAATCTCCGAGATTTTGGGCCGCGCCGCCCGCACCAAAAATCTCAGAGATTTTAGAGCCTCTAGCTTTTCTGAAGGGCTCTAGAATCTCCGAGATTTTAGAGCCCCTAGGAGCCCGGAGGAGGCATTTTAGAGGTGAGCCGGAAAGGCTAGGCCGCGCGCGGTCGAAATGGCCGCAAGTGGCCGCACCATAATATTGAGATATTTTATGTTCAAGGAATATCCGGAAATATATCCGTAGATCATCAAATATAGGTTGATAAAATATTTGATAGACATGATCAGATTATACTTATTTTGATTAGGCATCATCTCTGATCTCGCCTGATCGTTGCCCATCATAACCTGGCCGCGCAAATAATTTCAAAGTCAAACGTTCAAACCTAGCCAGTTGTAGGGCTAGACCGTGTTGCATTTCAAATTTCCAGGATTTCAGCAGGCCTAGCAGTTGAGAGCACTTCCGGCACAGATTGATCCTTAGCACTTTCTTTCAGGGCATAGCCCTAGCAAAGATCTTTACCTTGACTTGAGCACAGTCCAAAACGGCAAGCTGAGCACTGAAGCCCATTTCTCCCTGTAAGCCACCTCAGCGCTCATGCAATAGGCTCAAACCGTCAGTGTTGCGTGAGCAGGACTGCTACGCATCCCAGGCTGTGCTTCCTGCAATTAATCCATCCTCTCCGCGTGTCAGAGTACACGTTCCCGATAAAGTCACCTGAGCTACTGTAACATGCGACTTGGGTCCTTGACCATTGCGCTCGGAGCCAGGCTTTGGGATGTACGATCGGAAAGTTGAACCTTGTCAAGCCGCGATGGAGAGTTTGTCACCGACGTGATGTAAACATGGAAATGGTCTCTTCCAAGCTTTGGACGCCAAAGTCTCCTGAAATCTGAACTGGAGCTTCTTGCCACCATCAATCACATCAACGTCGCCGACCAGTTGGACGTTCGACTCTGAAGCCACAAACAAGGCTTTGGTGCCTTTTATGAATTTGTCTTTTTGATATGTGTCGATCTCATCGGTGAATGTACAAGACTCGTCATAGATCTCCTGAGGGGAGATGCATAATCATGTGACAATGTTCCGCACATGCATCTTCGTCTTGCAGCCTCGGGTCTGGACTGAAGTCTGCCGTGGCCAGAAACTGGCGATTTACTAAGTCGTCCCGCACGGTCTTGGCAACTTCAGCAGCGGCAAGGTTCCTCCTCTTCCCGTCGCCTCTATCAAGGCTGACAACCGTTACTGATGTCCTCTGTCTCACGGCTGAAGGCTTTAACATCTGGCCGCCTGGCCTTCGGCCAAGGCAGTGCCTGGAAGGATGGCACCCGCCACCGCGATGAGGCCGGCGGCTCGGCGCTCCGCAGGCGAAGCAGGCGCAGCAACCGGCAACCAGGCTGCCCCGAAGGAAACTGTAAAGCAAGCCTCGCAAGTAGTTGCAGCACATGCACACTACTGAACTCTGGGTCCGTTTCTTTAAGGTTTAAGGCATGCGGCTTAAGTCTAGTCTTCTCATGGCGTGTGGCATGTGCGGTTTGTTGGGATTTGATTGGATGTTGAGGCTGTCGGGGCTTAGGCATTTTGTGGTCTAGGGTTCTTAAGGCTTTGGACTGCTAGGCGGCTAAGGGTCTTGAGATTCAGGGCTTTGAACTTTTTTCCTGGGGGTTGCTCTTCGCGACTGGGGAGTTTCGAGCTTGATGTTTTTGGGAGTAAGGCCTTTGGGGCCTTCAGTTTCCATTGGAGCTTCTGCTTGCTTTGGGTTTTGGGGTGCTTAGTGCTGCTACAGTTTGCGGCAGTCGCGGTCTCTTACTTGCATTCGTTTGCGTGGCTCAAGTTACGGCTCGTGCCAAGCACATGACGTGGATGGAGGCTTCAGGGTAGCAGTGCCTAGGGGCGCTTTGGCTGAATTTATGCAAAGCGTTTGCTAATCCAATTAGACGCAAGTAAGGCGAAAAATGACCACAAGCGAGAAACCCAAGCATAATCCCCAGGCAAAAAAGACAAGCAACGCCAAAAGAAGACACAAGCCAGCACACATCACGATCCCCGATGCGTCTCAAAGAACGAAGCAGCAACATGCACAAACCTTGTAAATCTTGTAAACGTAAAGCTATCTCGCAGCCTCAAGCCAACTTCCCAACATCACGTGAATCAACTGCAGCAGCATGTGGCAGCGCTTGCAGGTCAGGACTCAAGACTAAGGCTACCTCACAATCCGAGCCACTGCGAGAGCAGCCAATTGCTGCCGACGCCGCGTCGTCTGGCAACGCACCATAGCCACAAGATGCCGAGGCGAAGACAGGCTTGGGCTTTGGGCTTTGAGGTCGGTGATTGCAATGTCGTCATGTTGCAAGCTGTTGCGCTGAATTGGCAACTTGTGTATCTTGGCACAGCTGGAGCCGAATGCCAGAAATGTCGGATTTAAAAAAACTGGCCATGAGCTTGCTGGAACATGTATACAGCTTTGCTGTGCATGCAGCCTGCATTAGCCTGCCATAGGATGCCCATTCTTTCGTTTGCATATTCTGCATTCAGTGCCAGTTTGGAGCAGCGCCTCGCCCTCAGAAAAGCTTTGTAAACGCCAAGGACAAGAGCACCGGAGCCATGGCAGCAGCTTGGTGACACCCTGACTTTGCGGATTTGGTCTCCTGCAAGGTTTGGCCGACGCCCCATGCAACCCAACCCTCCAAAATTCCCTAGTGTCCTGTGCATCTGTCTCTTCCTGCCAGCGCACAAATGTGAAAGTGATTCCTTATCTGCGTGGTTTAGTCTCAAGTCCAGACCCCGTGCCGCACCTCATCATCATCGTCAGCATCCTCCTCAACTTCGCTCTCAAGCTCATTCCGCTATTAATCACAAACTCTCAATAGCTCCACGCAATCCTTGTTCTCAACTTTCACTGACTTCACCTTGTAGTCATCAGACTTCTGGGAGTCAGCTTTGGTGTCCTTTTTTTCCTCCTTTGCGGGAGGCTCCTGTGAAAGTGGAAAGTTGCCCCCTCTTTGAGTTCTTTGCAGTCCTACTGAAATCAGACTCTACAGCGTGGGACCTTGTTTGCTTTTTTCTCAACCTTTTTGGCAGGCTCCTGCGAGAATGGAAGCTCAGATTTCTGTCTGCCAAAGCACTGCGAATCATGAACGCATGCTGCGTACTGTCATCCGAGCGCTATGCAGAATTCGGAGCACGTGGCAAAGTACGACCCCTTACACTAGCTCACCTAGCTTGAGATGAACTCCGCTGTGTGGCTGTGTATCCACCGAGGGCCTTCTTGCATTAGTGGCTAGAAAGGCTGTTGATTATCAGACAGGTACTTGTAACGACTGCAAACGTACCCCCATCGCTGGAGAACTGCTGCGCAAGAAAGCTATTGCTAATGAGAAAGTATTTGCGTTGCAAGTCACTGTCATGATGATCCGTGCACTAACTACTAACAACACACTCGTAGGCTTCATGGTGATCTCCTTCTTCTCCTGGCTCTCCGCCTTTGGAGCATCCTGTGAGCTTTAGAAGCAATTGCCCCGCGAGGCTACGAAGCTTTGCATTGTCTACATTTCCAGATCATGCAGGCAAGTGCGTCGGATGGCAAGGTCCTTGCTTTCTTTGCTCTTCGCCTTTCGTTGAGATTCCACGGAAGCTTACTCCACATAATTCTCTGCATGACAGCCCTAACGAAAATGGTCCCTTCAACAGCTCACAGACCTGATGTTGACACGAAGGCGGTTCTCTTTAAATGTTTTCAGTGCTTGCATCGGCCTTGCTCTCGTCTTCGCTATCTTTTGTGCCGGCTGGCTCCTGCAAAGGTATCCGGCTGGTGGTGAGGCAGAAGGCTCATGTGCAAAACGCTTTCCTTGGATGTTGTGGTGTTGACAGAGACCTCGTTTTCCACCTGTGCCTGTCTGAGTGGGCATCTGCCAAAGATCTGAGCGTAACTGCTATCAGATGCGTCAGCTGTGAGAACAGCGTGCCTCCGCTTCCTTGACTAATTGCTCGGCCATTCGTTCTTCAGCCATCATGCTCTCATCTGCAAGGACGGCGGAGTGAGCCTGCATGAAAAGCAGGCCTCAAGCCTAGAGTTTGTTAGCATCATCTGGGAACCTCTGCCGCAGGGGCATGCGCCACTGGTGAGCGGTGGTGCCCATGCCTGTTACAGACAGTGCAGCACGATAACAATGTAGACATCTGTAGCCTGTAGACACTGAGAAGCTCCGGTCCGCTCTGAAAATCTGCGTGTTGGGTCTCATGAGAGGGGCAGCTTGAAACACCTCTGCTTGCAACTTGCAACTTGGGCCAAGGTTCTGTTTTCCTGCATGCGACACTTGTGCGGCCAACCTTTTTTCTTGCCAAGAAAACGACGCTTTCAACCAGACAGCATGGCTGACAAAGACATGCAAACCTTCAGGGGATCTAACGAGGCTGCGTTCAAACCATGCTTTAAAAAGTGTAGGGAACAGCACCCAGAAAACTTAAAACTCTGGTATGACGACGAGAACTAGAGTCTAGACAGAGTCCAGACGGAGCAGGAGAAGCAGGAAGCCGCAACCAGATGAACCTGGACAGCGGCCATTTACAACCCGCATTGTTTGCATGTCAGGAAGCGCCCGAAGTTGCCATTGCCACGGAAAAGGAAACCTTAAGGTGAGGGCAAACCTACGGCTTGTTCATTCAATGGCAGACTGGCCACTGTTCTGGCCGGGAGTGATGCAAGTTGTGGTGGTAGCATGCAGCAGCAAACAGCAGCATAGTGGTCGCATCCCTTTGCAGGTATGTTCACTGGTAGCCGCTGCTTCGATTCTGGTAGCAGTTGTGTGGTGGTTGGAGCGGTGGCGGTAAGAAAATAGGTTCTGCAGCCTTTTCCTGAGCTTGCTCCTTGCTTCTCGGCAGACCTCGTGTCGAGGCGGAGGATGAAGAGAGCCATCAGTGCGCAAACATCGGGAACAGGCTCCAGGCTCAAGATCCCTGCTTCATGTGAGAAACTGCTGGAAACAGATACTGAGAAGACAACTTTCAGTGTTGTCAGTAGTGCATGCGCAGCACTCTGAACTGATGACGCATGCATTTGTAAGTATAGATGCGAATATGAATCCAGCTGACAAATGGTGCCCAGGGGCGCGCTTGCCGAAGTTGCATCTGTGACTCAAGACCAGTTGGCATCTGGCCTTCGATGATGCTTTCGGAGACCACTAGTTCCGGCCACGAAGACCACAAGCAGAAGTCGAAAGAGCAGAGACCTGACCGGAAATGTCTCTGCTTCGTGATTCGACATGTCGGCAAGTCCTAGGCAATTAGCCCTTGCAACCTGAATGTCCCAAGCAGCAGTCTTTAATCAGGACGAGTGTCGCCATGGCAGCTTTTTGCGCCGGCACACTACGTTACTGTGGCCTTGCTCTGTACAGAGCTTTCAGTCAGGAATGGCCAGAGGTTGGCAACATGTTTCCACTTGACAACTTGCGATGCAACATGAGCCCATACAGTTTCAAGGATCATGACACCCCAAGCGTCATTACAAAAAAAAAGCCAACCATCCTAAGCCAAAGCCACGACTTACACTGGTGTTGTGTTGTCGTCTCCTGGAAGGCTCTGAGCGGGATGGAGGGAAAAAACAAACGGGCTAATCCCTGTAGTCCTGTACACGTACCATCTGCAGACAGATACCAGTACTGCGCCTGTTGTCAAACGGTCGGTTGCCTCAAGTTTCCTTCATCTTCGCATATCGCCTTAATTTTTCCCATCACGTTTTTACCTCATTCCATCAAACCTTTCTGGGATTTGAGAGGGTGTGGCATGTGAGTGACGACCTTTGTTTGCGGTCTTTGCCTTGTGTCGTACTTTGGAGCGGTGGGCCCTCGTCTCGTTCGCCTCATATTTGATCTTGGACCTTATTGTAAGCTTACTGTAGCAGTACCAAAATCCCATGATCTCTTTCGCCATGTTGGAATAATTCATGGTCCATCGTCTTCACCAACTGAGTCGGTCCGGCAAGGCCTGCAGCTCCTTCCAAGTGTGCGATGACGGACTTAATAGCAGCAAGAATCAGCTGATCCTGATCCGTCCTACTCCTGAGCGCCTACACAAGGAGAACGTGTGACAAAGATCACAATGTGCACCAACTCAAACGCTCTCCGCCCTTGGTCCTTTTCAGCACTGTGGCTTTGCATCGAAGGTGCATGACGCTGCAAGGCACTTTACAGGTTTCGAGGCTGTACAGCTGGGCACTCGCTGGCGCCACTCCTCCACCTTTACATGCCAAAATTGTCCAGAGGGCCTGGCATGACCGGCTTCTGATTTTGTGGCGCCGCACCCTTGTGCGGGAGCTTTCATCATCAGAAGAGGACTCATTTCGGACTGCGTGCTGCTGGCCGGGTCTTCAACAATGTGGGACCTGCAACGGTGACCGCTCGCCAGCAGTTCCCCGTAGCTCTATCTCCCTCCGCTCTCTTTACTTTCTGTCCCCTCCCTGCCTGGAAGCGCGCGCTCTAAGTCATCCACTGCTGCAGCTGGCGCACCTTACCACATCTGAACACAAGACAAGCGCAGGCTCACCATGGCTCACCCTCTAGGCCCTAGGCCTTCGTAGATGCCCCCTGGCACCAGGTTGCTGCCTAGCCAGAGGAAGTACAGTGCTATCAGGGCAAGCTTGCAGCCAAGTCGCCTTTCCATGTGAGGCTTCCTGGGCGGAGGACCGCGCCATCCCCAGCATCGCACATGGCAACCTCAAGCAAAGGCACTGGAAGCTCTCCTTCTGACTTTTGTGACTTTTCGAGCGAAACCAGCCGTGAACAGCGCGCGAGTAGCTGCCGAGCCACACTGGCGCCGCTCATGATGGTTACGCCGTTTCCAATCTTGTAGCGGGTGAACTTGAGGCGGAAGTCCTGCATGAGGAGACACGCGAGAAGCAGTGCTGCCCGGTAGTAACCGGCCTCGAAGGAGTGGCATCTCACCTGCCCATCGTAGTCCACGGTCACGTCGTCCCCGATCTCCGTGAAGGGCGCATCCACAAGGACAAGCTCGTTCCTTTGCAGAGTCGAGACTGCAGACCCTCACCCGGCCTTCTCTTACTTGTGACACACGATGCAACACGCCGACTCCAGGTCAAGGATCATGCAGAAGAAGCGCCTGCCTACTTTGGCGCCCAGCAGCCGCAAGATAGGCGCTTGCCATCGGCTTCCAGCAGTCTGAGGCACAGGCTTTCAGATGGAGATTTGAATTTAGTGATCTGCTTATCAGCTTGCGCCTGGAAGGGTAGCTTGAAGACACGCTGCTGCGCCGTCAGGGCCGTGAACCAACGGGTCACGGTCGTGGAGTAGTAGGCCTCAGTTCAAGGCATTCAAGGCCAAGCCCTGGGCTGTCTGGGATATCGAAGCCCTTATATGAAGGCAAGGAAACGTTGGAGCGCGGGGCGCTGCCATTGAAGAGCAGATTGCCAAGGAGAACGGAGAAGACGTACCACGATCCGAGAGCAAAGGCAATGTAGATGCCCAGCACCTCAAAGGCTTGCCCAACTCCAGTGATGTCCGGCACCAGCACACGGCTCGTCACGAAAGCAGCTGCCGTCACCATGCCTTGCACGCCCCGATACAGGAAGACGTCCAGGATGCTGGTGCTGAAGTGATGCCAGAAGCGTGCTAAACAGCTGGCGGGCTCTGGGCCCTGGTTTACCTTGCCAGCCTGGCTACTGAGGCGCTTGAACTTCATCGCTGGATTCCCAAAATAGCTCATGTTCGGCTCTGTGGGTCTTTCTGGAAGCCAAGTGCCCACTCCGCAGAAGCTGCCCTCGGGAAGGCCTTGCGGCAGGTGGTTGTGGTTGCCCAGGAAGGTGTGGTCACCTCGCACTTGCAGCTTGAGCTAAAAGGAGCGACATTAGCCTCTATACTATATTATATCATCTTAATTGCACTTCCCAGCCGCTCATGTAGGTGATGCACGGCACCTTGAACTGGCCTCGGTCCACATCCACGGAGGTCAAGATGTTACCAGTGGCGAAGAAGCAGCCCTTGCCAACGACCAGGGTTTCCGGTAGCGTCACCTTAAGAGCAAAAGCTTTGAAGATCTTTGAAGGCTTGAGCTGAGCACCATGGGACCCGAGCCTGCAGACCCATAGCGCAGCCGTGCCCGAAAGTGGCGCCGCAAAGGCGGATGAAGGCCGGCACGATTGACGCATCAGCCAGCATCTCCGATGCCTGGCACACATCACCCCACGCCCCACGCCCCAAGCCCCACGTCTACTTGTCCAACTTTTGCCTGTTCACCTGCCTGCAGCACCATCGACATCTTGAGGGCCGCAATTTGGGCGCGGATGCTCACCAGCGGGTAGGTGCACGGCGGCTTGACCTTGGGCAGTACCCTGCACAGAAGCGCGGTCCCGAACAGCTGGAAGATGGTGTTGATCATAGAGACCTGGGTGGTGAGGCGCGCACTGACACCAAAACCAAGACAAAAGCACATGGCCCAGCTCTGCTATGGCCCAGCAGCTCCAAAGGCCATCAGTGGCACCCAGCAAAACATCGTGAAGAGCTGACTGGGCAGCGCATCCTTAGAAAGTCACACCGAGCCAGCGTATCGTTTGCTTGCACCTTTTTACTTATCAACTCTCGCAGCTGCAGCTAGAGTGGCCATGTGCTCGCTGTGCATCACCTTCTCTTCCACCTGCTCGGGCCTGTTGAAGGGGTAGTCACTGCTTAGCCTCAGGCAAAAATGGCAGAGAGATGTCGTGGAATTTGAGCGCGGCATGCCGCAGCATGCGGCAGCCAGATGTTCGTCTTCATCCGAGGGGCAGCTGAAGGAAGAAGACGCCCAGAAAGGGCACCAGGGCCTTCGGAAGCAGCAACAGCCAGTAGCCCGTCGCGAAGGCCGCCGCGGCACAGCGGAAGCGACGGGCCTCAGCCGGTGTGGGGACACGGGCGGTGTCAGCCCCGTCCACTGGCTGGGCGGGCACGCCGCAGACGCGGCCGTCCACAAGCATGCCACTGGATACTGTTGACAAAGGCTCCACGTAACCAGCAGCAGCCACCTGAATGGCAAAGATTGCATCTAGCAACATGTCCCTTGCACTTGAATCAGCAATTAAACCTTTCTTTGAAAGCCCTTCAAGCCCGCCTCACAACCTGGCTCTAGGGTGCAGTTGGGCCCGACATAGGCGCCAGCCCCGACCTGGACGCGCTTCAGAACCATGCGCCGGGCGCCGTAGTTCACGGCTGTCAGGTGCCTTGGCCCATGCACAGTCGCCAGGTCGCCAACAGTCACCAAGTCGAAGGCCACGACGCGGGCTGTGATCACGGACGAGAGGGACACATCGGCTCCAAGGGCTTTGAGCGCCAAGTTGCGCATAAAGAGGAAGGCGATGCTGCTGCCCTGATGCGCATTCTGGCCCACGATTGTGCCCTTCGCCATGTGCTCTACGAGCCAATGCCGCAAGTACATCAAGCTGTAAATATCGTGCTCTCCCTCCTTGTAACGGCCAATGAGAAGCCACTTGGTGACTGCTAGAAGGCCCACCCGCACAAACTGCTCCAAGAACAGCAAGCCCAGCAGAAGCAGGAAGGTGCCCCAAAGCGGGAGCACAAAGCTCAGTGGCAGCAGCACACGCTCAGCCAGGACTAGGCGTGCCGCCACGAAGACAGGCTGTGCCTTGGCTATGTTAACATCCTACGCCTACGCCATCCTACGCCTCTACGCCTACGCACAATCATCCCCTTGCGTCTAAGCGGCAAGAATTGCAGCCCCTTGCACTGTCGCGCAGAGCACCGGCCAGGCGCTGGGTCCGAAGTCGTCCCCAGGCTCTTCTGCAGTCTGCCCCAGGACGTAGCCAGCCCTCAGCCCGTAGCCCGTCACTTTAACTCACAAAAATCTCACGAAGCATCACAAAGCTGAGGGCGCGACAGAGTTGAGGCAATGGACAGCGAAGAGCCAGCGGCTCGCCAGGCCCGCGATGCTGCACTCTCCATCGAGGCCCCGCGCCGGAGCTCGGGAGCCATGGGAGCCACGCTGGGAGCCACGCTGGGCGCCGCAGTGGTCCAGGCCGTTCCGACGCGCATCACGCAGAGATGGCTGGGTGCCCAGCGGAGCGCCGGCATCTCGGCGCCCAGGTCCTGGCTGCAAGAAGTTCACAGCACGGCAGCGCAGTTCGTTTACATGCTTTCAGGTGTGCAAAAACTGCTGCGGGCCGCGGGAAAATGTGGGAATGCGCTGCAGCCATGTTCTGGCAGCATGTGGCATTCTACGCCGCTCCTGCATGCACACGGCAGACAACGTCTCTGGCCGAGCGTGCCCGGCTTCCAACCTGGCAAAGGTCTCCAAGTCTTCCGGCTCGCAGACCAGCATCGTGGCACGGCTCACGCAGACCTTCTGCAAGAGCTGGTCCGAGGGAGCCAGAAGCGTGGCTCCGGCTGTCAGGCAAGCCCAGGCTACTCCCAAACCTCCGACGCTGCCCGCTTTCAGGCTGCAGAGCACGCGGGTCGTGCCGTCCACATGCAGCCGCCACGACGCGGCGGCCTGCTGCAGCAAGGCTTCGGATGCAGGCAACGCTCGGAGCCCGTCGCCTCAAAGAGCTGACATGTCTGACATGTGCCCGAGTGGAAACACATGGCGCGAATTGATGAAACCTGGCAAGATGCTGGTCTCCTCGAAGGCGATGCAGGCAACTTGCGCCGAGGCTCGCTGCTTCAGCGTCTTCGACTGGAGGGAGGGGGAGCTTACATCCACGCAAATGACCTCATCTCACAACATATCACATATACCAAATCCAGAATGCAAGCAGCAGCCACCATGACAGAAGCTGTTACAGGCGACTGGTTGCAGGCCTTGCCACGTTGGCAAGCTTGCAGTGCTGCTCCAGGCATGTCCATCGGGCCTCCGCCATCTCCGCCCTTCTTGCCAACAGCACCTGCGGCTTCGCCACACGGAGCTGCTCCAGCAAGGAGAGGTCACTGCTCCTTGAATCTAAGATGCAGAAAGTGCGGCCCTCTCTGGCTGCAGCCAGCATAGCCGCAAGCCTCCCAGGAAGCTCCAAGCAGATGGCCACGCACCCAGATGGCTCATGCTTCATCTGATGAAGCAGCTGCTGGTACGAAGCTGACAGTTTAGACAACTGATGGTAGCTGATGCTTTGGCAGCCAGACTCGGTGCAGATCACATGGGGCATTTCCTCCAAGCGGGCCATGAAGTCATGCACCAAGCCCTCAGCAATCTCAGCGCCACCTTCGTGGTCCGAGTCGGAGTCGTCGCCCGACAGAGCCAGCGCAGCGGCCAGCGACCGCACTGTAGGGTGCTCGAAAAGCAGCTGCAAATCCACCTGCTGCAATGAAGGCCTCGCACGCATCTGGGAAATGAGACGCCCGAAGCCTCCAGAATCCACGCCCAGGTCCTGCAACAGTTGCCATTACAGCCAGTACTGCGGCACAAGCAGACGGTCCAGAACATCTAATTACCACAGGGAGTACAGTACTTTATGTTAGATCTTTTGCAGTGTGGCACGAACTGGTGCGCACCTCCATGAAGTGAGAGTTGCAGTCCCACTGCTCCACATTGCTGAGCTGGGGTGCCAGGCAGGCGGCAATCTCCCTCTCCAGCTCGGTGGCGCCTTCCTTCACGAAGCTCTCCCAAGCATCCTTCGTCACTTCCTCCGCGGCCGCATCCAGTGGCACGGCGTTGCGCAGGAGCTTGCCGGAGGTGTTGAACTTCCAGGCGTCGTTCTCTACTATCTTCACCTGCCCCGCTTTAGCGTTGTGGAACATAGCTGCACATGGCCTACGAAGGGAATTTAAAATGGCGCCTGGCTCAGCACATAACCGCGGCCCAGCGCTGCAGCCGTCGCCTTGAGCTCCGCCTCTGAAAGCTCCACTGAACCAGAGGCCAGCAGAACCTGACAACACAAGTCTTCATCTTTCCCGCACCTCAAAAGGTTCCCGCGGTTCTCGCATGTTCTCGAGTTGAGGGCGAAACCAGGCGCTGACCGCCGTCCAAGACGCGCGCCTCGCAATGCTTCACTGCAGGCAGCTCGGTGATCGCCTTCCAGGCAAGGATCTGTCGCTTTAAGTGCTTTACGCACAGAAAGACTTCACACTCTGCAAAACAGTCATGGGGGAGTCCTGCTCTAGGGCTTCCAGTTCAATCCGGATGCCGCGAACCTTTACCTGCCAGTCCACTCGTCCGTGGTAGTGGATGCGGCCGTCACCGGCACGCGAAGCAAGGTCTCCGGTGTTGTAGACCTTACTTAGCAGGACTGCAAGGCAAGGGGCGCGGCAAAGTTTCTGAAGCACCCAAGGAATTGCCGAGGGCCGAGGGGCGCGGCCAATGCCAGGCAGCTCGATGAACTTCTGTTTTGTCTTCTCTTCCTCTTCCAGATATCCGCGGGCCAAGCCAATGCCTCCCACGAAGAGGACACCTCGCTCGCCTTCAGGCTTCACCTGAACATTCCAGCTGAGGCTAAAACTGCAACATTTCAGGATCCTGCCGGCCTCCATTGTCTCTGGGTCCAGGATATAGCAGTCATAGGTGGGCAGTTGTGCTCCAATTGTGATCGCATCGCCGCTTTGGACATACCCTCCGGTGCAAACTACCGAAATCTCTGAAGGCCCATAGCTGTTGAAGAGCCGGCGCCCAGGCGCCCAGGTGTCTACGACGTCGGCGCCCAAGGCCTCACCCCCAACATCCAGGATGCGTAAATCGGGCAGCCCAGCGGCTGTTCTGGACACATCTTTGGCTCCTCCAAAGGCATACGCATTTGTTTTTTAAACTTCCGAAAACAGAGCTGCGCCGCCTACCTATATTAAGAGAATTGTCACAGTCACGGTTGGCCCTCTCCTCCGCCCGCCATGGTGCGCAGGTGCGAGGGCACGACGCTCATTCCGGAGATCTGCTTCTCCTTCAGCCAAGTTTGCATGTCCGGACCGCTCTTCTTCACGAGATCCGGGCAGGTCACACTGGTGGCCCTGGCGGCCATAGTGCCGTAGACCTCGATGACGTGAACATCCCAGGACATGGAGGCAACCTGTGCGAAGCGATCTTGCTCGTTCAGACCCACATACCTGCCCCAAATGCGCACAACGTTCAGGGCGCTCTTGTGTCGGATCATGACTGCTTTCGGCTTGCCCGTGGAGCCGCTGGTGAAGATCAAGTAGGCTAACCTTCAAAGATCACAGAGTTTTTTGGCATAAAAAACCCTACCGTACAACTCCCTTCTGAAAGAAGTCTACGTCGAAGATACTGAAAAGCTCTTAGCCGGCCTGTCCAGGTCCTTTGGAGCGTGGGCTGGCCGCAAGGGAAGGGCCGTGCTGTTTGCCCTCTTCAGAGCAAGGTCCACGTCCAGCACGATGCGCGGGAACCCGCCCAGGGTCGCTGCCACATTTGTGATGTTCAGCCGCCGCATCGTCGATTCGTTCGAGATCATGATAGGAGGCTGCGACACCTCAACCCAGCTCCGCAGCTTCTCAACCGGCTCCCCCGCGTCGAAGGCGTTGTAGGCACAACCCTCCAGCATCACGGCATGTACAGCTGCGATGCTCTGGTGACCTCGCTCCAGCACGATAGTGACCTTGGTACAGCGAACTCAGGATCAGGGTAACAAAGACCTCTCACAGCACAAGAGCACAAGAGCTCAGCCACCCGAAGCCCATGTCATGAGGCCACGTGCCCCGGCACTTCTAAACAAGACTGAAGCGCGCCGCCAACAGAGAATTGAAACCCTCCTGACTTATTACATGCGCAGAGGATGGTGACATTGAGATTATCGATCAAAACCCTGTGAGGTTCAGACCACGTGCTCATCGGCTCGCCGGCTGTGTGCATCCGGTGAGCTGAGATCAATAGCTCCCAACGTCGGCAATTCCAGGCTTTGCAAAGCTTTTCGCAGGACTTTGCGGATTGCATCTGCCATCTGAGCCACCTGGGGCATTCAGGCGTGAGGGTGTTTTGAAGGACTGTATTGAAGCTACAGCTTTGCTAAGAAAACTCAAAGCTTGCTCCTGCACCTGAATAAAAGTGTAGCAGCCTTCCTGCGTCTCTAAGCATATGCCTTGGGGCTTTGCCAAAGCAGCTGTGGTCAAAAGCTCGCCCAGGTTTGTCTCCACACCTGGCATGCAGCTGTATCCATCCATGTCCGTGGTCAGCGCCAGCTCCTCCAAAGTCGGTGCCATGTGCTCCAGTGCCATAGTGTCTCAGCTGAAAAACTCTACAAACAGCGAGGACGTGGGCAGGGCACGCGAGGGCTTGCTTGCTCACATGCCAACGGCGACAACAGTCAAGCACTCAACCTATGACACAAGGCATCGCTGAGACAAAGATCACACTTGCAAGCTGTTCTAGATGTTGCCTGGGCAAGGAACTTCTTTGAGCTTTTGCGCAGCTTGCTGCCACTGTACACTGTGCTAGCACGAGATGAATTTGATCAGCAGACTGATCAGGTCATGGGTTGATTGCGAGGGCTGGTGAAGCATGCATGGACTGAAGAGCATGCATCATGATCTGTGAAAATGGAATACAATGGAAAATGTCCATCAGTGCCTGTTGCAGCATCCAGCGCTACGAGCGTGATAATCCATCGCAAGTCGCCGTAGCTGCTAGGCCCCACATTCTTTTGCCATCTTCCAGCAAACACATCCTTCTTGACTCGTTAGCACTCGCAGCGTTCCCAAATCGTTCACAGCACCAAAGCCGCCCCACCCATAATTACCTCCTTTATACTTGTTTTCCGCTGCCCCAAGCACCCAGCCAGAAGCCACGTCCGGCCCCATCTGATCACAGCGGCACAACGGGCCTCGGTGCGGAGTTGCTCTTGGCCCCAAACCCCAAACTGTTGTGCAAAGTCCTTACGCATCATCGTTCATGCAGGTGCCAGATTTCCTAGGAATATTCCGCGGAAGTTTGGGACGTCGGGGTGTGTAATGCCCACCACTTAAGGGAGAGGTAAAGTCCTGGCCCTGGTAGTCGGGAAGCGCTGGAAGAAGTTCAGCACAAAGCGGAACGGATGATTTTCCGCTGCCTACTGGCTGCCATACTCAATGCCTGCCAATCCTGCCCTGGAGAAGCCTCTACCCCCGCGGGCTACGCGTTGCTTCCACGCATGAACGCGTTTGCCGGACTTGGACCCGAAAAGGGGGCGCCCTGTTCAGAAAGAAAGCCCATCAGCTACTGCATCCCCTTGCTGCTTGGTGTGAGGGGCCTCAGGTGGGAGAGGCTCCCGCACGAGGACATGAAGAGCTCAGTCGCCTTTGGCGGCATCGCCTTGACCAGCACAAGCATCTGATGTGGAGAGAGAGCCATCCAAGTCCAAGCATTGAAGCTCAACACCGCGCTCCTCCATACGCGAAGGTTCCTGTAAGTCCACACAAGCCCCAATGCATGTAGGCGCGGATGGCGCGATCGCCTGCCATGCGTAACATACCAAATGGGAGGTGCGCTGGACTTGGCGGTATAGCCCTTGGGATAGCAATCTGCGCCATGGCCCCCATCTCATTGGCCTCTCCCAGAGCGGCCACGCGGACAATCGCGGTGAAGCTGCCTTGAAGCCAATCCTCCAGCGAAGCCGAGCAAATGAAAAAGCAAGACAAGACAACTTCAACCCTAAACTCCAAACCCAAGGCCTTCTCCTCGTCCGCGAAACTCTCTCCGGAAACTCCCGAACCAAGATGGGCTGGAGGGTGCTCCCACGAGGAGAACGGAAGGCAAAAAACAGCAGATCAGACCTGCCTGACACGTTGACAAGTGCGAATGTAGGAGGGACCGTACATTAGCAAGAACTGCGAAGCAAAGCCCAAGATGCTGACGTGTCGGAGCTCCGAACTCGTCTCAGCTGATCTCGGTATTTGGAATATGTGCTGGGCTCTTCCTGCACAGGAAAGTATGGCATACATCATTCAACACCTGTGCCCTATCTAGTTCCCGAAGGAATGCTGGACTGCGATGCAAGCATGCCGACGCGCCTAGTTTTCTACTCTCGTTCGTAAATAAATCCGGCTGCTTCTGTTTGCGTCTTGAATCCGATTACATTCTCGCCCCATCAGTCAACTATCCCCCCGCCTAGTTGAGGGCCCCTCCACCCCCCTACTGTACGTTTCCAATTTAGCATATATACATATATGTATACATGAGCCTCATACCTTTTGGGCTTATTTAACCACTGTTTCACATTTACTATACAAAAACCTATTCCAATTCTTATGCGTACACATGTAATTACAAGCAATAAATACGAAAAGTTTTAGATACACTAGAACATTAGATAATACGTAGTAGCTACACTGAATAACTACACATCAGCGCGTTTCCGTACATTGATCACATGCAAGCTCTGTACATGCAACAGATTACATGTTCAATAGTATTGCTCGCAGTATAAGAAGCCATTCCATGATATCACAATGTATCAAAACTTCAACCATTGCGCCATTAAACCATTCAACCACTGGTTGTACACATATGGACATACATTGAATCACGGAGCCATTGAACCATTAGACCATTGAACCAATGAACCGTACAACCAAAAAAACAGTAGTTTCCCCGTATGGAAACCCATTAGACGGTTCAATGGATCTTCATACCTGGATATCCATTGCTTCAACGGTTCAAGGGTTCAACATGTTCCCAGATAGGGCAGAACGCTGGTTCAATAGTCCAATGGTTCAATGGGTTACGATATAAGGAAAACTATTGGTTCGCAATTTTATAATGGTTCAAGGGTTGATTGGTTTGATGCTTTAATAATTCAACTACTTTGCATATAGGGGAACCATTGATGAATGGTTTTAAGGTTCACTGGTTCAATGGGTCAGCGGTTTCATGGTTCAATGTTTTGGCGTTTCAATATAGCTCAACGGCTCAGTAATGTAATGTGGTCATGGTATATACTATCTGTTTTTAAAACAGCCCCCACGTTTCGAACCACGCATCTCAGTGCCTTGAATTGAGTGGTGATATGTTCTAATGGCTTATAAACAATTTTCTCAATACTTTATGCAAGGGAAGCACACGAAATGCGGGGGGGGGAGTACCGGTAGTATCCCCTTCATGTGCCGGCCAATGTACAACATGCAATCTCTGTATTTTTCGGAAAGGAAATGAGATCTCTCTTCTGGAGACAATAGGCTTGATGCTACATAGAGCTTTATACATAACACGTTATGCAAACGATGACTTCTCTTGAAATACAAAGACTTTTTTGCTTAAAACACAAAACCTTCCGCGTGTCAAGAGAGAGCTCAAGCTCCAGTTGGTTCTATTGCATTTTCAGGGGATCGGAAGAGAATACTTGCAAGGAACTGGAGCTTCCAGTTCTCTCGAGTCAATTGTGGAGCAGAGACTTCTATAACCTCCGTTGTTGAATCAACCCGGCCAATACCACAGGCGACGCCTCGATTTCTCAAACTTGCTCCCTGGAGACTCCAACCCAGAAGTTGAGAATTTCCAAACCGTGGAGGATGGCAGTTCATTGTTTCTATTTGTTTTGAAAAAACTCTTAAAATCTTTGAGGCCACTTTATGAACGAGTATGACGCAAAAAATCTGAAAATGTATGATTTCTGTTACAGAAACGTTGCGTTTGTTGAATAAAAAATGTGAGGTACTTATGAAAATCCAGGAATATCCACGATTTCGAGGCAAACTCAACAAACACTCTCTGAAAACCCATGAACTACCTCACTTTTCCAACGAAAAATGAAAATGTAGAGCTCCGGAATTGTTGGATAAATTTACCTATGTTCCTTTCTTTATTTTTTTATACGGTGTCCATAAATTCTCCAAAAAAGAAGAATATATGAAACGTGCATAGAACATCATAGAACTGGAGGATTTCGCGGAAACATGAAGAAAAAGTAATGAACAAATCTGGAACCCCAACAATTTCTTCATTCTCCTCAAAAAGAGAAATGAGCTAATTTCAGGATTGTTTCATGAAATTTTCCCGTGTTTCCTCAACACGGTTTGTTTTTTCAATAGGTTTTCCTTATGTTTTCATAAACTTTCCGAAGCTTATGGACGGTTTATTTCTGAAAATGATCGAAAATTATGACAATCCAGGATTTCGCGGAACATTAAGAAAATGAATAAATGGGTTTGAAGTTTGAAGGCTCGCGAATTTCCTGATTTCCTCGAGAAATGAAAATGCAAGAGCTCCGGGCTCTTTAGTCAAATTTCCTTTTTGTAACGAAATTGCATCATTTTTCCTCAAAATCTCGACGTCTCGTAAGAGCTGGCGTCAGAATTATTTGTTTGCGGTGATGGTGGAATTTTCTTAGGGTGCTTGTATCGTTTTGCAGGTCTGGGAGGTATCGTTTTGGAGTATTGTTTTTTAGGGTGCCCAGTATCGTCTTGCAGTGGTTTTAACATCTTTCTACTCGTTGAACAACCGCCCTAACTACTCGACAATAACACAAATTTTGGCCCCGGCTCATTTTCCGTGAATGTCAACAAAACTACAAAAATCGTTGAAACCTTTCAGAGATCCAGGATTCAAGGGAAAGTGAAGAAAATACAGTTTTCCTCGACAATATTACAATTGAAAGAGAATTGTCGGCATGTCTCATGAAATTTACGCGTTTAGAATTTGAACCAACCTTTCGAAGAAATTAATGCAACAATCGTAGAATTCAGAAGTCTTTTATTCATCAAACGTGCGGAAAATTGTCCAAATTTTTCGGAAACTAGAAAAATTGATCAAAGGTCAGGATGGTTTCGAGAAATTTCTTCGCTTTATCATGTTTTGTCTCGAACCCCCGAAACTCTAGAACTTCGAGCGGAAGCAAAATTTTCAAAAATCAAAAAGGCCGGCTTCCAGACTCATAAGTTCATTTCCTTTGATCTTCTATATACAAAAACTGAAGCCACCTTATCCTCCGAGGATGGAAGCCCTCAACCCGAAAAAAGCCAACAAACCATGACAATCCTGTCGAATTTGGGGGCTTTAGCTATGAGTCGTTGAGGTCTAGCTCTGAGATGTTGAGATGGGGCGGTGCGTGACGCCGGGGTTTGGGGATAAGGAATCGTGGTAAGTAGGGGGATGAGTAAAGTCAGTGTTTCGGGCAGGATTGCATAGTTCAAGTTTTGCGTCCTCACGGACGATGGTAATGCTCAAGGTTGAAGATTTTACGGACGATGGGCTAAATGATGGGATTGGGAATCTTACGTCCTCACGGACGACGTCCTCACGGACGGGGGGTTTACGTCCTCACGGACGGCGTCCTCACAGACGATAGGGATATGTAGGGATTGGGGTATTTATCTCCTCGCGGACGGCGTCCTCACGGACGATGATGGGGTTCGCATACGGAAATACTAAGAATTCAGGGGTTGGCGTCGAGAATGTGGTTGTCCAAACCCGTCCAGGCCCTATGATGATGAGGTCTCTAAAAGCATTTTGCCGTACTACGCTAACATCCGTTGCCTTGGCATGCCCTGGCTTGAGCCCCCGTCATCATGTCATGAACTGTATGCATTCCAGCTTGAGCAGCATGGAGCCGCCACAGGGATCACAGTAGTCCACTGACCGCCACCGATTGGAAACACGAACCAAGGGAAAGAAAACAGCGCACCAACCCAGGGAAAGGAAACAAGAAAACGACACGAGTGTGGCTTGCGGCATGTCGGGGCATGGGTGGTTTTGGAGTTGGCCATCTGAACCTGAAGAAGCCTACAAAAAAGCTTGACCATCTCCATATATCTCCACGGAATTATGAACGTGAAATTCACGCATGATCTCACATACTCATGACATCCCATGACCCTTTGGCCGTCCTTCATGGCAAACCTCTGCTTGCACCAGGACTTCAGGCCATCCAACGTCATGCCAGGATTCGGGTGATCAGCTGCATGAGACTACGCACTAAGAATTCCACGTCTGCCTTCTTTCTCCTAGTGCAAACCCGTGACTTCGTGTCCTTGGATATGTCCACAGTCTCATTCATCTGCCATGAAAAGCCCTCCTGAAGCCCAAGCGTGGGTGGGTGAGACTCTGCATGTCATTGGAGAGGTTCTTTGATGGTGCAGGATGTTGGACCCAAAGCCATGTAGAATCAAATCGCGATCTTAGCCGCAAGAGGCCATAGCATCGCCGGTTTTGGCTACCAGCCCCGCTCAACAGGCTATGTAGCAATTCGATTGGAGGAGGCACTGACTTCGCAGAAGCTGGAACATGTTTTTCAACCTGCTGTCCGCGGTTCAGGCTCGCCCTCGCAGGCTCTATATCTAGCTGGCGAATAGGAGCGCAGCACTGCTCAACCACGGAACTGCTGCCTTCTTTGAAGCAGCGTAGCATGGGACCGCGGTGTTTATGTCTGTGTGCGTGATGTTTGGCAACACTGGTAACTCAGAATTGGAGAGAACAGACTCGGAGCAGCAGTTGCGGCCCGGCAATTTATGAAGCCAGTAATGGCCATGTGAAACAAATGCTGTGACACAGAGCTTTCATGGCTCCAGGGACATGTGAAGCACCTGGATAGGATTTGATCTTTCCACGAATGCAACCTCTACCCTAAACCCTCAACCCTAACTCCCAAACCATAAGCAATATCTGCAGGCTGTGCCTCTGCCTCGCGGCAGGCTGCGATGATTCCAACAGCACTGTTGAAGCGACCGTTCACCTTGCAATGCAACCAGGCAGTGGATGACTCTGGTGTTGATCCCAAAACTCCCCCAAAGCAGTTTCCATGTTCTTTTCCGTTATCCCTATATACCCCTAAAATAACCCCTACGTGAGCTATAGTCTGAACTCCAAGTATCAGCCTTGATAACTCCTATTACACTCCCCTATAGAATCCTCTAAATCACCCCCTTTAAAGAGTCTAGACTCGACTAGAGCTCATATAACCCCCATATACCCCTATATTTCCCCCTATATAACCCCAAGTATCCCCGGGGTGGCCTCGACCACTCGCATGCCTGGCTTCACGACTTCTCTGGATCCTGGCGGTTGGGCCTGGTTCCACCTGACATCTCAGCGTCTCTTCAAAAGAGCTATGTAGGGTTATACAGGGATATATATGTGCATGTATATACATATGTATAATTATACGTATATAGGGTATATGAGGATAATGGAAATGAAAATAGAAACTGCATCCACTTACAGCCATCTTCCCCATTGAGGCAATTCTAAAATGCTTCTCAAAAGCAGGAGGGACATCATGGATATAACCTCAATATATACCCTATAATCCTCATATAACACATTACAGTAGTTTCCGTTTCATTTCCATTATCCAAATTATCCTAATATATCCCAAACCCTAAACCCTAAACCCTGAATAGTAGTTTCCATTTATTAATGACCCATCCCCTAAACCCTAAACCCTAAACCACTATGCATTGGCAATGAGATCGCCTGTCTACTAAGCCTCCCGGAGTGACGCTTTTGATTTCCAGCGTGCCGACCTGTGACCCAATTTAGGATGGGATGGGTTATGAATAGGGATAACGGAAAATGAAACGGAAACTACTATAATGTGTTATATAGGGATTATAGGGTATATATTGGGGTTCTATTCGCATGAAGCAATCGCGACATGGTTCAAGACCCAGCTAATCCAACCTTCTCAGGTGCGGCATCTATGCCCAGGCTGTCGCCTGTCCTGGCGTTCTGCTTTCAGCTGCTATGCAAACACTTGGTGCGCTGCCATGATGCCGATCCTTTCTCTCAAGCTTGTGGTCAAGCTATGATAATGCTGGGAACCGGAGTGCCAGACACCAAGGCCAGGCGTTCCCAGCTTCCCACAAACCAGCCCTCCCCTTGCACACATTTGCACGCCCCAGTGTGCTTCGCTCATTATCGAGAAAATTGTTGAGACGGTTGCTGCTGATGCTCCTGCTCCTCAGAACAAGGACAAAGAAAAGTTGGTTTCCAGCGGCTCTTTCCAACCCATTTTCGGCAGCCACCAGGCCCACCACCAAAAGATATGTTATGGTGTGCGCAAGCTCATGCTCGCGTCACGCCTCTGCGGCTGGGCCGAGGTGCTTAGCGGCTTAGCGTGCAGCGTTCACAACTGTCAGCTTGTTAGCCATCCACCAGGCAAAAGGACAAATGAATGACATGCAAGCCGTTGCGGTGTCCTTCTGTCGATAACTATTGTAAACTCGGTCGGAGACCTGTATCTGTGATGCACATGGAATGAAGGCTCACAACTATCGGGCGCCCGCCTCTTTCGGGTTTGTCTGCCAGGCCTGCTAGATGTTGGTACATGCGGCACTCATGCGGCGAGGGCAGCGGACTGACTTTGGCACCTCCTGGACTCATCTGCTCCCTGCCTTACAGCTGAGAGGTTCCAAAGGATTCAGTGCGATCACCTTCCTCTCGGGCTGCAGCAAATCATCTTCACACGAGCAGCAGGACCCTGTCGCACCCATTGACACGAGGTCCTGCGGTGCAGGCATAGGCTTCTTTCAATGCCATTGGAATCTCACATCCTGACGCTTGATTTGGTGAAGCGGGGTCCTCGTCGGTGCCTGAAACCCGGATGGACAGATCTTGGGCCAAATCAACGGCGACGAGGCAAGCATCCAAACTTAAGGCAAACGACAAGTCCGACAGATTGGCATGGTGCCGTTCTCTTCGTACAGCAACTTATCCTTTTGTTTCATCCTGTGCAGGCGGCACTCAGCTGCCTGAAGGTCATGAACACAGAACCTAGGCCCATCAAGCAGCGCGTGTTGTGCTGCATGGGCTGCTAACTCGAATGCGGACAGCGAGGGGAGCAGGCAGTTCAGCAACAGCCGGCATCACAAGAAATGGGTGATTTTGCGGCTCTTCTGATCTGCTCCTAGCATCAAGCTCATGCAAGCATGGCGGGTGTTCGGAACTGCGAAAGGCTACAGGAGAGGTCCGAGTCCTGCTGAGCCAAGGACGGGAGCCATGACCTCAGGAGCCGTAAGGAGCCGTGGAAGAGATGATTTCAGCAAATCCCTGCAAGTTGCCTGCAAGTTGTCCGCTGGTCTTGATCAAGGCTGAGGCACCGGCGGCCAGAAGGGGTGAGACCTACGAGCACTAGCGGGTCTCGTCAAATGGTAATAATGCTTCGCGGATTGACACACGGAGAAGGGAAGGCAGGCCTGAAATTCAAAGGCCGCCTCCTCTCCTTGTACGCACTGAGGTATGCGTGCTCGCGCGAAATACCTGGGCCGTAAGGGACAGCATTGCCTGGCCTTTTTCAGTGTCCCCCTCCAGCTCATCAAGCTTGGTATGGGTTGGTAAGGTCTTGGGGAATGTTCTGAGGCTGCTTAATGTGATTGGAGCTGAGAATGCTGCACGCGTCATGCTCTGGCAGCCAAGTACACTACACTTCAAGCGGTACATTAAAAATCAGGCGGCTCCTCTCGTGCGGTCAGCCAATTCTTGTGGCAATCCGCCATGGCCTTTGCAAGCTCGTCATGTGCGGCTTCCGCTGTGAATGGGATGTATCAGGATAATCCCCTGCCTTGCCTTTCCAAGATTGCCCTACGTTATCCATACGTCAATCTACTCGCTTCGCTGACCACCCCCCTTGCTCGACGCACTGCCAAGCTGACAGACAGAGAGAAATCTCGCAAAGTCTGCATTGCATGATGTTCCGAAGGCCTGATAACAGGATTAGGTTAGCGCTGAACAGAAGTTCTGTGGGCACCGTCCGCAAGGTATTCCTATCAAAAAGGGACCGAGCTACGGGCCGCTTGAAATGTGACTGTCTGAAGCTCTGCATCTTGCACATGTTCTTGAGGACCCAGCACCATTGTGGTCTTCCATGAGCTTCCGGCACTCGGAATCATGCAAGGCCTCCACAAAGCTAAGGCCGGGCATATCCTGTCTAAAAGGAATTGCACCAGTCAAACTGTTCTGGAGTGCTTGGCCTTGAGGAGCCAAAAAGAGGTCTCATACCTTGGCTTCAGGATGTAGGTCCTCTGGGGAACGAGCTTTGGATGCAAATAGTCTGTCAAGGCCAAGCTTCTTTGGCTGCTGTTCAAGGAAGGCTCTCCAGGCCTTCAAACTAAGCAGCTGCAAGCTTAACGTTGCCCGCAGCCCTGCAAGAAACAGCAGTTTGAGCAGCGCACGGAGTTCACCTCTGCCATTGCCTGGCAACTTCATCAAGGTCACGGAAGCACCTTGATGCAGTGCTTGCCACCTTATCGTACTGCTCTCTGGCTCCTTCGAACTCACCAAAAGCAGTGGCCATCTCCTGCTGCTGCAAAGTTGCATATGTTTCGAGCTGCAAGGTTACTGTTGCTGGGACTACTGCTGCTCTAAACATCATTCCAAGTATTTTCAGCGGCGGCAGCAAACAAGATAACGATAATGAGAATACAAGCTGGCGCTGGAGCTCTCACTGCTCAAGCCCGGATGTGTTCAGTGAGGTCTGCCGAGAGTATACCAAACTGTGCCCGCCCCTCGAAGGGTGGGTGGAGGGAAACCTCAAGGGGCGATGGATCACTGATAGCTGTGGTACGGCCGTCGAACGGTAGTCCGTACAAGCCCCTATGTGCCACGCCACATAAAAAGAAGAACAGCAAAATCAATACCCACAACATCCACAAGCAGCCTGACTGAAAACGATAACCAGAAACACTAAGTCAGTCAGTGAGTCAGTCACGCTCTGTGCGGCACGTGGACCCAAAAAACAAAACAAAAAGCTCCTGGATTTGAGGTCATGATAAGACTGCATGGAAACAGTGCGCAGAAGTTGGACCATGTACGAATTTCTGTGCTTTTGTTTGCTTGCGCTTAGTATTCGTGATGTTGGGCTCAGTTGGAAATGTTTGGATGTGGTTTATTACCTGATTCCAGGGGTCCTGTGCAAATGCAAAATCCCAGAAAAGCCGACGTTTTAACAGTCATGCTTTTGGCGCGGAATGCTCTGTGGCAACGTCAGATATGTGCCCCTTGTGAGCTGCAGCAGTCTTGCTTTCAGGATGCCTGAAACAGTGCCTAAAAACTTACGGGGCATTGCTTAGATATGTTTCTTGAACCCTCACAGAAACATCTTGAAATGCAAGTTGCTGCACTCACAATAAAGTCTTCGAACACTGCTCGGAAAGTTCACACCACAAGCTCCAATGCGTGAGCTTAGCTGTGCCATGGTCCTGTGCTGTTTCAATGCCATGCAATTCGTTAATCGTATACTCCGCTCTCACTTGGTATTGCTCTTGTAACTGAGGCCGAGCACTCGCCCAAGCCGACAGAGATTCGTGCATGCCCCTCAAAAAAAACATCAGCATGAACAACGTGTCATAGCAAATCCGCACCCGTGCAGTTGTACCATAGCACTGGAACCAAATACAGTACTTCTGCCTTTTCTATGACAGTATTAAGAAGTGCGAGATTGCTGTTCCTGTATGATTTCACTTGCACAACAGGGGTACTACTCGGTAGCACTGATATCCACACAATTTGCAAGGGGTACGCTCGTTACACAGAACTCATCAAGTAACACTAAAGGCAAACGACAAAGAGATATCCAAGGAATCATCAGATCAAACTTGACGCTTGGACAGTGCATGGCATCAAGAGCAGACCAAGAAGAGGTGTTCACCTGATGCTTACTGTCAACGGGGTCGTGAGCCATCAAGTGGAAGCGAGCATGCTTGCAGGAGGCCCCCGCTGTAACAAGATCTGTCCGAAATACTGTTGATCTGCCATGAAAGCTTGCGGAATGTAACCCCAAATTCTTGAAGTGATTTGGCAGGGAGTAGCCCGTGTTTGAAGATGATAAGTACTCGTCATAAGACTGTGTTCGGTTCTCTTAGCGTTCGTGCATGCGTAAACTATAATTTGCTCTTTCAGATCTATCTCAGCAGGTGCCCTTTCTGCTGTTTGCAGTAGCCCTTCAGCACACCTTGTCTGCGTTCTCTCTTTCCGCCTGCTGCCGCTCTCGTTCGAGCTCCTGTTTCACAGACACTGGGCTTCACAAAGCAGAGCTCCTTTTCGACTGGCAGACTGGCAGCATCTGGCAGCGCTCCTGGGCGATTTGCTCTGTGCCCTTCTTCTCCTGCACCCACACCGGCGATGCTCAGATCCAAAAGGACGCACGGCAATCCAACCTTACTACCGAAAAGGTTGAACGGAGAAGCCTCAGCTTCCCAGCATTGAGTTTGCATCACCCGAGGTTTCTGCTCGTGCTTGGACGATGTCACAGCTCATGCTCGGCTTGGCCAAGGACTGCCACATCCTTCTTCTTTGGCTTGTCCTTGTTGCATTTCGCATTTCCAGGTCAACCCCAAGATGGTTATCCAGTTTGCTGATGAGCTATAGCCAGGCTCGAGGCTGTACAGTCGCATGAATGCCCTGCAAACTCAGACCATCAGTCAGCTAGGCGACTTGGCTCGCACGGTTCATACTGACTAAGCATCCTGCCATCTTGTGTGCGTCCTTTCCTCTTCAACTTCACGGCCTGATGTTCAATTTTGTTTGAAAAGCCGCAAGGCTCCAAGCTAGCTGATCAGCATTTGTGCGTTCAAGGAGCTGAGAAGGAAGATGAACAAAGGCTCTGATCCTCTGGCAGGCGCCTTGTTCGTGGTAACGGAGCGCCGTCCCACCTTGAAAGCTTGAAGATCAGTTCTAATTTCAGGAAATCTTGTTGTGTTTTCTTCATGCTGGAATAGGGGGCAGGACGCCGGCCAGTCAGTGGGTGGACCATGCAAGACAGCGGAAGGCATGTGTGGCAAAGAAATGTACTGTTGACAACCTTATGTGGAAAGGCTGAATATGGGCTATTCATTGTAGATGCAGCAATTGACGGTCATTGTGCTTGACACACGCACCATTCAGAATGGAAGCTGTCACCGAGGCATTCGCGAAAGACTTTGAGCTGCTGAAGGCTGGTCCACTGGTTGCATTGGGTCCGATGCATCCATTGAGCAAGAGTTTTCATCCATCCCCACTGCATGTGTTGCAAAAATTCACCCTGTGTCAAAAAACTGTGCCAGCCAGTGCTCTACACATGGCCTACACCTTGGTCGCCAAGGTGGTTGACATTAACATTAGCCAACCGTTCCGCGTAAATCATTATCCAGAGCTTCTCCTCAATTCTGAGGGTGCTCTTGCAGCTTGCGGATGGCCGGCGTCCTGTAACAATTCAACGGCCAGACCTGGCATTCACAGCATCGTGTGCCTCGAAGGATACAAAGGATGGGGCCAGTCTTCCAGTTTCATCAGGGGAGAGTTTGATTACTGCACCCTTGTTGCCAGCGTGCCCAAGATAGTTGGGGGCAGAAAAAACGGTTATACAATCAGGATGTGTCCACTCGAAGCCACGTACCTTGACCTCATGCGACCGAATCATCAACCGGAGACCATTTCTTCTCAAGAAGGCCTCTGTAATGTTCGGGCCAAAGATGTAACAGCCTTTACGGACTCTGTAGGATGGGCCGTAGCCGGTCTTGCCTCGTGGATCTGCCCACAGCAAGTCAACGATCAAACGTTGCACCTCGGCCTCCTCCTCGGGCAGCTCAGCCAAGGCTCGCAGGTCTGTTGCTGGATCTCCTCCGCGGGGCAAGCTGGCAATGTCTTCAAGCGTTAGCTCAGTGTTGCGCGGAGGCAGAGACACGTTGTCCGGATTGTACCCCAGAAGGGACAGGTGCTGACCCCCACCGCGCCGCCCGCTGAAGCCAACAGCATCATAACCAGTACCTCCACCACCTGCGTCATTGAAGGGCAGTCGGGGGTCTGGTCCTGGTAGGCCCCCATGCACGACGAAGACATCTGAATTCAGCACATGAGCCAGCGGCATCCATCGAAACATCTGAGAGACAGCCTCAAAAAACATCCTGCCATCAAAGCCATAGTGGTCACGAATCTCAGCTGCAAATCCATAGCGTAGGTTCAGGTCAGCAGCTTCATGATTTCCTCGATTCAGGAAAACGTGGGATGGAAACCGAAGCTTCAGAATCAGCAGCGTGAACAGCACCTCCATGGAGTGAGCTCCCCTGTCTACAAAGTCTCCATTGAACAAATATGGGTTTGTTTCCGATGGCATGCCCATCGTCTCAAAAATGTAGAGCAGGTCATAGAACTGTCCATGCAGGTCACCCACCACAACCACGCTCTCTACGTCGACTCTCTGCAGTGTCCCTTCAGCCTCAAAGAGCTTGCAGGCATCTGTCACCAGCTGCAGAGCATCATCTACCGAAAACATTGGCTGCCCAGCATGCTTTGCAAAGGCATCCAGAGTAGATGAAACAAAATTATCATCCACGGCATGATTGTATTGAAGCGGATATGTCTTGGGTGTCTCAGCAATTCTCGGTTGGGTTGGCATCACCGCCTCTAAATCACTTGTTCCAGCCTGCGATGACTGCAATGTTTGCTGTGGCCACAGCCTGGCGAACCTTGCTTGATCAAACTTCAACTAAACAGCGCACCGCACTGCGTCTCATATGGTCTCTACCTCTTAACCGCCAGTAGCAAAATTAGCTCAAGGAACTCAATCCTCACAGGCAGATCTGCGGGAGAGTTTTGCATCTTGCCTGCAAGAGCGCAATTTTGTGGGTGGATTGCCAAGGGTGCACGCACCAACAAAACACATGTTGGTTCAAAAGCCTCGAGAGAGTGATTGAAACTTTCCGCTGGAGTTGTCTAGGATCTTGTCGCCGAGTATATCCAGGATGTCAGGGAATTCCCAAGTGGAAACGTCCCTGCCGTTGATTGTCTTGACCTGAGCGTAAAAAGCCATTGTTGATTTTACTGGTCCAGGCCGGGACAGAAATTACGGGGTGCTAAAAAAGCTTGGGACCAGCAGAGAGCTATCACTTAGGACATGGGACTCTACTCTGGGTTGCACTTTGGGGTTTATCCTTGGGAACTTTTCGGTCTCCAGGGTTGTGGCCTCTTCACAATTGTCGGCTGAGGCTGGCTTAGGGTGTAGGGTTTGCAGCTGCTATCCAATGTCTGGGCCCGTTTGCCTTTGTAGGATCCTGGAAGTCCCATGTCACCGGATCATGGATTGGGGCAACAACCCGAAACTATACTCATCCCATTTGTTTCTTGTACTCTTCCTAACCGAGCTCTCATCCGCCCAAACCTGGTTGCGCAACATCTACTGCATGCTCTTCATGATTCATGATGTGATCTTGATGTGAACTGAAACTTTTATCAGTTCGAGATGCCACGAAGCCTTCTTCCACGCCAGCTTTTCGCGCTTTGCCTTGTGGATCTCCAGGATACCGCTCCTCAATGACGCTTCAGCTTACAGAGGCGACAGAGCGGCTGACATAATGAACGTAATGACATGGCCACTTCGCGCGTCCTTGCCCAACTCCCAAACCATGGCACCCTTGCCGCTCCTTATCCACAACGTGACGTAATGCCATGTGAAGGCTGGGAATCAGAATCGAAGCGCTGTGCCAAAACCACCCTAGCACATGCTAATTTGGGCAAGGCTCGCACTGGGAGCATATGCAAGGATGCCGAAAGGCCGCATACCAAACTCGGCCGGATGTATTGACTGTATCAAGCTCGGGTCGCTTGCATCAAAGGTTGGCACTTCCAGAATCTTCCGTCCCTCGCTATCTCGAGGGCTTGCCCTTAAGGCACGCGTGCGGGGGCCGCGCCGACTTCTTGCGAAAAGCATTCGCCCAGCAGCTGCGCTCGCTGCTACTTTGCAGGTGTATGCCATCCTCCAGATTACCATATCAGAAATCATCAGACCGACTTCGCAGTTCTCAGGCTCGCAAACAAATCGGCAGTCCTGTCATGACCTGACGGTGGGGCCATATTGACCAGCCTGCAACACATGCGTGAGGCTGGCAGCGGCTAGCAAACGAGAAAGTCCCTAGCCGCCAAGCCTCCGTGTAGGGGATTTGAGAGAACCTGACAAAAGTGGCAGGCGAGACAAGACTCATCTCAGCTGAGGGTGCGTGCCCAGCCTGTCTTGGCGATGTGCTGTGCCTCCAAAGCTGGATGGGACCACAGTGCACTTCATGCCATCTCATAATGTTTCACTCTTCTTCATGTCACTTCCGACATTGTCTACAGCAGGAACAGGTGCAAAAGTTTGCTCAAGCGAACCAGCTCTCTTCCACAGCTTTCAGCGGAGTCGGCTTTACGGCACTCTTTAGCAATTCACTTCAGTCCGCGCTGCAGAGGTACAGCCTGGTTGGAATGTTCCAATACTATTAAGGATAGTTGGCCTTTGGATTGGAAAACCGTCGCTCCCGACAGGCCTGTAGCTCATGCCGCGGTATTCGGACATCAAGCCCTGCAGAGGGTGAAAAGCGCATCATCGTTCTAACTACAGCTCTAAAGTCTTGAGCCTATTCGCAAGTGGCGACGACGTGACAGCATGGCAATCTATGCTACACACCTTGGCAGTATCAAACATTGCGGACATCATGGCATTAACCAGCATCCCTGGGTGCAGTTTCCTAACGCTTCAGCGCTTGACTTGGTTGCTCACAAGGTAGAGACCCGGGGCCCCGATCTGTGTGTGCCTCATTGTGGTTAACGTCTCCGGCAGCTGGCTTGAATCCATCTCTTCACAGGTTCCAGGGCTGATCTTCTGCTGCCTTCCAGTCGAAGCCTTGTTGAAAGTGCCTCTCTTTGCCAATGACAGACAGTTGTGAACTCTTGGACGGCCATCACGAGGTAACCCAAGCTTTGACATCCTGTGTCGCTGGATGCGACAGCGATTGCCACGGGCCAGCATGGCGGGAAGCTATATCAGAACAGAGTTTCAACGCATGGTCCATGCGCGTGATCTCTGCAGTTGGCTTGGTTGAGCGCATTCAGTTATCTGCCCGGAAGGAAATGCGTGAGATCCGCGTCTGCAGAGACTGCAGGCAGCATTCGCCAGACTTCCGGAGTTCTGCTTCTCTGACTGAACCCTGCAATGGTCATGACATCTCCGTCTTCATCTCCACACAAGCCGGCGGCCCAGCTCCGGCCTTGGGCCATGAGAGATCAATCATACTAGGAGCTAATAGTAAGCATGTTAATCATAGTAATGCAACAATACTGATTAGTAACTCATTTGCAGCAGGCCTTCTGGAAGCCGAAAGACGTTCCTAGCTCCACATCTTCTCTGTTGGACCTGACAACGTGTGCGATGAAATCTGCACAGCTTACAAGTTTCAGAATGCTTTCACGTGCCAACGTTCTACAACATGGTACGCTTCACGCAATCGACGACATATAGTGCGCGCACTGTAGGTGCATGTAGGTTGGGCATGCAGGTGGGACCATGCTAGAGATGAATGCGGTTTCATCAACATTTCTATTGTGCAGCTACCTCTGTCGGTCGAAGACATAAATGCCGAAGTAAATGTAACAAACACACATAACCACGTTCTGTACAACTCAAAGAACGTAAGCTAGATGCCGCCAAATCACTAACCAGCTTGCTCCATCTCCGTCTACGCTTCTAGCGAGAACCCAAAGGCTTGTCGAGGTCAGATGCATGCCAAGGGCTTCCACTGCCTTGCCCTCCATATCCAATCTGGCAATCTCGCGCCTGCCAGGCCATAATCCTATCTGTGGCTGTCCTTTTCTATTTCGCCTAGGGCTACAACTCTCGTTTGTGTGCTTGCCTTGGATGCAACATGCCATTTTCTGGACAAAGAACCAGGGATTCGCCAGCCAGACTTGAAGCCAGGATACCCCATCGGGGGCTTCCGTGAAGACCAGAACATTCTCGTTCTGCCAACCCAGCTTTGAGAACAGCAATAGTTCGCAACGGCTGAGCAACACGTGAAGACACGTTCCACGGTCTGCTAGAATTGTGGCATAACTCCCAGACGACACGCCCATCATGGTGCAGCACCAAGAGGACCAGAGGATCTGACTCCACAGCTGCAATGCTCGCGAAAGGCGCTGACGACAGGCTTGGGTATGAAGACGTGTGAAGCTGGCGTGTCCCAATCTGAAGCGGTTGAAAAGGACCAGCCTTTTGAAAGCCGCCAGTAGTCTCGACGAAGAGCTGTGAGTGATAGACTCCAAATTTGTCACCTTCACTAGGCGTGAACTCCCTACTCTGCCACTCAAACGGCTAGCCAAAACGGTGGTGGCCGGCCTACCAGCAGTTGATCTCCGGCGCAGGTCGACACGGCTGGCCTCGTTGGAAGGGTTCCCGAACAACATCGACGCTTTGAGGGCAGAGTTGCACTTGCAGGATAGGGATCTGACGAAAAGAAATCATGTGGCCATGACTCAACCCTGGCCATGAACTTTTTCGTCTTGACGTCAACATGGAACAGGCAATACCTTGGCTTTTCATCACAGCAGTCTACAGGCCAAATACAGCGAAGGCAGCCTCCGATTTGCTGTCAAGTTGCGAAGTGGTAACCAGCCAGGCCAGGATGATACTCAATGTGATTTGCATGAAGTATTTCCAGGGCATGCTGGACTGCTCATGGCCTCGGCAAACTAGCATGCCAGGACCCCACAGCCACTGAGCGGCCCAATCCAAAAGAAAATCTTAAAGCTGCTGCACGATCGACAACACCAAGAACAGCATGCAAACGAAGCAGGGCTCAACAGCTGCAGAGTCTGACTTCTCAGTCAAAAGGCTAGACCCGGGTCTCCGCAAGTTGGGCAAGAAGGGGCGCTGCGCAGCATTCATCGCAGCGCTCGCGTCGTGTCGACGGTCCAAGCCTGGCACCTTGTTATGAGGTTCATAGCAAGAATTTTCTGTCCCTCTGCTGTCGCGCCTCCATTCCCTCCACCTCGAAGCGCTGGAAGCCGCTGGGAAGGCTGTCGCTGCCACGCACGCCGCGAGTGAGACGGTCCACTTCCAGGAGCAACGTCCGGATGTCGATGTGCGGTGCACTCGGTGTCCATGTCGTGTCAAGCCTTGGCGTAAAGCTGCTTGCCACAAATTGTCGCCTTCAAGCTTGCTAGTAGGCCACGTGTCGAGGTTCACGTAGAACACGATTGGCTGTCCAGTGTTGGAGTTGACTTCACGTTGCAGCCTGGCAGAAAGTGCTTGCTCTACTTCGCATGGAGGCCTGTCCCTGAGGCTCACACCAAATGTCCAGGTCCATTTCTTCTGGATGCGGAGAAGGGCAACCCAGCTCCACCAGGCGTTCGCGGGAACGCTGCACAGCCTGCACCTGCACGGCTTGAGGGATCTCCATCTTGCAGCACAACTGCAAGTGCAGCAACATAGCATCTGAGGACCTCCTCATGCTGCAGCAGGCTAGGGTTCTGTCCAGCAGTCCTCATTGGCACAGAATGGCACAGAGGCATACGCAGCTCAAAGAAGAAAAGTGCATGTGACGTCAGAGCTCACATGTTCTGAGCTGAGTGCTCATTGAGCATTAGAAGACGCTCGATCATGCCCAAGACCTGCTCAGCTGGAAGGTGCTCTTGCTCGTGCAGCTCGGAAGATGTGTCGGCATCAGATTCGTCCTGCCTAAGGCTTGGCAGCTAACACGTTGACATGCATGCGCGCTAGGACCGCTAGGAACACAGCTTGGCCAATTGCCGGCCAAGGTGCCCAAGACGCCGCTGCCGTAGAGCCTGCTGGAAGGCTTGGAAGCGTCGTCGATCCTCCGCCTGCCTGCTAACTCCCCAAGGCAGACACTCTTCACAACACGTCACCAACACGTCACCGACTCGGCCTGCGGCGAAGGCTACCGAAGATATCCAAGTAGCGAACAGATCTGAAGCTCATGGGCAGATCCAGGTCTTCCTAGTGGCTTTGCTCAAGAGTCGCACAGGATTCAACCATATTCAAAGTATGCATCCTACAACCGTGCCTTTGATGGCCGTGCTTCCCAGATAAAAAGAATCTTCCAGCCAACGTGCAGCAAACACGTCGCACAAACCAGCATCCATTGGATAATCCCCTCTGTGAGATGCCACGTGCCGCCATCATGAGCCCAGCTTTGCACTGCAGCGCAGGACACCAGTGGAGCACACACTACCACAGCTTTGTAGATCCGCATGCGTTGCTTCTCCACCTGCCAGCTGGTCAGTTCACCTTTAGAAGAAATCAAAGTCAAGCCAAGCCGAGGGGCGTAGAAGTCCAACTTGTAGAGGACCAGGGTGGTAAACATTAGCATGCAGGAGCCAGTGAGCGTCGCGAACAAGCATCCGGAACTCTGCCAGTTCTGCCGTGCAATCCAGAAGTAAGCAAGGGCTGGCAATAAATTGCTAGCACACGCTATGAGGCACACCCGAGCGTAGGCATCAAAAGGAAGAAAAGTCGTCTGCAGCCTCGGCAGATTCAAGATTCTGCTGTCTTAGAGGAACTGTAACAGAACACCATGCAGCACAGAAGACTGGAGGTGCGAAGCCCTGAAAGCGTGCAGGCTGATGGCCTACTTCTCCCTTCTTGAGTCAACTCAACTGAGCTCTGGGCTGCTGGAAGAGCTTCACGTGCATTCCCATCTCAGCCGGCAGGCCAGGCAAGGTCTCCCACGGAGATCTGTCTTGTCCTAGCGAGAAGCACCGAGACGCAGCCAAGCCGCCAAGCAATTAGGATGTGCACAATTCTTGACAAAGGCAATTGTCCTGTAGAGCCTTGCGGACCTTGCGGACCTTGAAGTGGTGTTCCTGTGGGTAGCGACGAATCCTCCAAAGCATCCTGTCAGGGTCAAGCAGGGCTGACATATTTAAGCGGGTCTCTTTGAAGCCCACCTGAGCGCTCACTTGTGCATTTTGAAGTTCGAGCCCTGCTGGCTGAGAAGTTCTCCGGCCCGCTGCTCCAGCTGCTGCTTCTGCGCCAAGAAGGTTTGGAGGTGTAAAGAACTTCTGCGGCGAGGCTTCGTACTGTGCAAGCTCATGTCGAACTTGCTTGAGTTCCGTAGCGGTCGGATATGGAGGTCGCACCGCGCGGGTCAACAACTGCACACTGGCAGATTGAGCTGCGATCGCGCCATGCATAGCCAGCCACACTGCAAGGAAGCCGTAGCACATGGCTGCAACAAAAGTGTTGATCCAGAAGAGCTTCAGCCAGGGAGGATTTGCTGGAAAATTGGGGCTGTTCCAGATGAAGCTGACACTGAAGCCCAAGAACAAGGTGCCGACCACCATGTAGGTGCTCATATGCGATGTGGTCAAGTTGAAGAGATCACGAATGTCCTGTAAACATACCAGCTTTCAAGCTTATCAAACTGACACTGGCCAGCTTCAAAACCGATGTGCAAGGGGGTGGGTTTTGGGTCCTCCCTGAAGAGACCCCACTGCTGGATGCGCATGTTTATCATTTGGTGTGCGGATGTCTGCTTCTGACCTGTCGGGCAGACAGTGCAAAGTTCCCGCGGGCACAAGATGAAGGCAGCCTGCATCGAACTGAAAGCGGCCCTGATTGTAGGAGTAGGCCTCAGCTAACCAAAGCATTCTGAACATCCATCAAAATCCTCAACTACAGGCCCTCTTCTTATGCTCTCTGTGACGAGTAACCGCCCAAGCACTTCCCATGAGCGATCCCAGCACCATGGTTCCCGCTTCCCTGGCTGTGTAGAATGTGTAGAAACGTCATAGGTCTCGAACCAGGCTCGGCACACATCACATCCATTATCAGCCTCTGCCTGCTCTCTAAACCTACTTGTTTAATCTTGTTACCAGACTCACAGTGTCGAGTGTCACTGACGCTGCCAGAAACTTCGGGGCAAAAGGTTTCAGTCAAACGTGACGCAGAACCCACTCAAAGGGAGCTGGCTCCGGAGTGCTCTGGAAGCAGGTCAGCAATGTCATGCCTCTTCGAGGCTGGCATGCACGCTAGAAGATATCTAAAGCTAAAGCAGAAGCAACTCCTTAGAGACGGGGTTGCAGGTGGCTGTGGGGCAGCCCTGCTGGCCATCTGCATAGCAGCCTCCGTTACTTGGACAAAAGCGATTGCTTCCGCAGTGACGGCAGCAAGGTCCGTTGGAAGGAGCTTCCGGACAGCCATGAGGTGCCAAAGCTGACTTGTTCTGTCTCTTCGGCTTTGGCTTGGGCGGCTTTGGCCCTCCATGTGGCAACAGAACAGCCTTCAGAAATTGGTGGTCAGAAGGAGCACCGTCAACTCTTTCCTGGCTGCACAAGCCCACGCCATGACCAGAGAAGATATGATCGGCAGCTTGGAAGACGGTATCCCAGGCACAGTCTTGCAGCGATTCCCTCAGAGTGACGAGGGTTTGGTCCAGGATCCTGCAGTTGAAATCGCCAGTGAAAATCACAGTGTCCCGCGGCTTCAGGTGTCTCCAAATTGACCGCAAATATCCTTGGGCGACCTTCTTTCCTTGTTCACCTGATCATCCACAGAGCTAAACTCTAGTCAGTGGAATGTACAAATATCGTACTCGAAACACGCAAATACACACAAGCATAGAACAAATCACGCCGGACAGAAGAAGCTTGCCTGCTTCAGGCTTGGCCACTTCCTGCTACTACTGTCGCCATGCAAGGCAGGGGCATGGCAGTGAGCCTAACACCAGCTTTTGTAAAGTTCAAATTAAACCCCAACTATTCTGCTTCACAATAGCTGACGATGGCTGGAATCCCAAGGCCCTCAGCATGGCCAGCTTGCATTCTGCTAATTACGTGGATGGACTTCCTGACGTACCCGGGTAACTCAATCTAGCTTCTGGACCTGATGCCACAAAGTAATTAAGTCAAAGCTGCCTTGTTCTGATTCATCAAAAAATTCTACCCTACCCAAGACCTGAGATTGCTTTCCCGAAGTCAGCTGACATGAAGTTGCTTGCGCAGTCTGAGTGGGTCGCCTGGTTGAAACTAGGACCCACTAGCTGCCCTCAGGCCACCACAAACTGACCCACATCAACTGGTTTTCAGAACAGCTTGTTTCACTGGCCTGTGCACTGGCCTAATGGACCATGGGTGTTGGCAAAGAAGATCACATCATTGCTATCATATTCCAGCAGTCGAACCCAATTCAACCATCTCGAGCTGTAGGAATCCTGTGCAACCCATTCGCTGGCCGGCCCCTCGATGACTTTGAACCTGCAGGGCTGTGGCGCGGTCAGTGACATCGCAGCGGCCAAACTTTGCTTATCTCTGGGATTTTCGTTTGGTTCGGTGGCATCTTGAGCCGTACTACACAGCCCAAGCAATACACGTGTTATTCGCACCCCGAAAACCCCTTGCGGTCGGCAACAACGCGATCAACAAAAATTCAACGGGCAGTAACTGTTTGTTATACCCTGCAGGATGGTGTTGAGAATTTCACTGTCCATAGCAAAGGTTCAAAAGTTTGCCGTTGCTGCCAGAGTCGCGGATGCTCTTTATGTGCTTGAACCCTTCTGAAGACGTTTCTCAAAAAAAGTGCAGTGTAGCTGCACAGGTTCCGAGCCCTCACAGCACATGGCAGACGATGAAAAGCTGCCAGACTTTTTAAAGTTCTCGCACCTCCAACCCAACCCCAAAGAATCGGAGCTGCAGCTGAAGGCCTTCTTTCAAAGATAATGGAAAAGAAAATGGAAACTACTACATTCTACTAGGGTTTATACATAGATGTATATAATGATCCGCCGACCCCCCCTTTGGGGCGGTGCCCCTGAAGCTGCAGGCGAATGCCTTCACAGCCCCGCTACGCTCAATCTTTCACCACCGCCACCTCCCTTTCATCCCACGCCCCTGACACGTTTCACTTCCCATCGGCTTCGACGGCCTGATTCAAAGAAGGGATGGACGGGACGGTAGGATTGAAAGAAGAGATGTATCCAATTTACATAGGCGAACCCTGTTTTTTTGATGTCAGAGTTTTGGGTGTCTCCCTCACGGAACTCACCGCCTGCCGACCCCCTGCCGTGCTCCCGCCCGCGACCCGTATGTATTTTGGTAGGGATGGATAGGTATCTAATGGGGGCAAGGCCAGCCCAGACAATTTATCCGAGGACTGGTTTAATAGAAGGGACCATATTGAAAGACAAGAAGTTGGCGGAAATTGGCTCCAAAGACTAGCTACAATTAGGTGGCTTTTCGTATGGGAAAAGCGGCCACATTTAAAGAAAATTTTGGGGGAACCCATCCTGATAGTAGAGTTAAGCAAGTAGCTTAAACTACAGTAGCAAGTAATGCTGCAGTAAGTTCCTGTTTGATTCGTCGTGGCTTATGCTTACTGTTCTCAGGATCTCAAGAAGCTCAGCCCCTTCAGAAAGCTATGGTTTCTTATATGCTTACTTACTTAAAGCAAATTTTGTTCATTCCTTCCTAGGCTACCCCTTACCGTGTCTGCCCCTTAACAGACACAACCAGAATTGGAAGGGGGACCAGATTAGTAACAAATAATTCTGCACTGGCTGCTGCTTTAAGTTCCTGCTCCATTAGTCTTTGATATTCTTTGATTGTTCTGCTTTCAGAGCCTCCAAACCAAAGATCTCCAAGAAATTCAGGCCCCTCAGAAAGCTATAGTTTCTTGTGTGCCTGCTTGCTTAACACCATTTTTCCATTCCATCCTAAGCTACCCCTTACCGTGGCTGCCCCACAACAGCCAGAACCAGAATTGGAAAAGGGAGCAGTTTAGTAGCAAATAATTCTGCACGGGCTGTTGTTGCTTTAAGTTCCTGCTCTATTTGCCGTTGCTTATGCTTCTTGCTTTCAGGATCTCTAGACCAAAAATGTCCAAGACGTTCAGGCCCTTCAGAAACCTACAGTTTCGTATATGCCTGCTTACTTAAAACAATGGTTTTCATTCCTTCCTAGGCTACCCCTTACCGTGGCTGCCCCTTAACAGCCAGAACCAGAATTGGAAAAGGGACCACACTTGTAGCAAATAATTCTGCACTGGCTGTTGTTGCTTTAAGTTACTGCTCCATTCGTCTTTGTTTATGCTTCCTGCTTTCAGGATCTTTAGACTCTAGACCAAAGATTTCCATCAAGTTCAAGTTCAAGCCCCCCTTTCTTACATGCTTGCTTGCTTGAAACAATGTTTTTCATTCACTGTGGGGTTCTAGTTTTTGATGCAGAATCGCCCACCGACACCGCCTGCTTGTCCGTTGCGCAAACATTTGGGACGCGCCTTTGTTCGCTCGAGACATCCTCGAAAAAATCGTCTATTACGTTGATTGTCGATCACAAGCATAATTAGGTGACTTCGCCTTTAAAGTGTTCTTGGTAGACGGGTCCGGACGCGAACCGGTCGTGCCCCTGATTTTCAAAAAATTGCGCTCCCGCGCGAGACGTCCGCAACATTTTGCGTTTTGCAAACTTTATAAACATTCAAGAATTGCACTCCCGCGCGAGACAATTCGATTTTTTGGCCTCTTGATCGTCTTTGTATCTTCAAGAATCGCGCTCCCGTGCGGAGCATCCTCGAAAACGCGTCGACTTATTTTCATCAAATTCGATCAAAATGAAGCTCCCGTGCGGAGCATTCGGAAAATTTGGATCATTTATGAACGATGATGTCGAGGGTTTCTATACCAATCCTATACCAGACGAACTTCGTTCGAGGTGGCCTTCTGGGCTCAAGAGAGAGGTATTTGGCGGAGGTTTCCAGTATAGGATTGGTATAGGATTCGTCAGCATCTTCGTTCAAAATCCGAGCGGCTACTGGATGGATCCCATACCAATTCTATACCAAACTGCTCCGCTCAAGGTCGTCTTCTTCGTTTGAGTTTTGAAGAAAATCGCGGTCCCGTGCGGAGCATCCTCAAATTTTCAAAGAAAATTGGGCTCCCGTGCGGAGCATCCTGAAAATATGGACGAAAATTGCGCTCCCGTGCGGAGCATTTCGAAAATTTTGAAGCAAATCGCGCTCCCGCGCGGAACATTGTGAAAATTTGGACGAAAATTGCGCGCCCGCGCGGAGCATGTTGAAAATTTTGAGCAAAATCGCGCTCCCGTGCGGAGCATCTTGAAAATGTTGATGAAAATTGCGCTCCCGTGCATAGCATCCTCAAAATTTCGTCGTTTCCTCATCAAAAATCGCGCTCCCGTGCGGAGCACGCGCTCCTGCGCGGAGCATGCTTAAAAAGTCATCGATCTGTCATCCAAAATTTCGCTCCCGCGCGGAGCATCCTCGAAATTCGGTCGATTTTTTCACAACATATGTAAGTATGACTATACATACATACATACATACATACATACATACATACATATACACATGCAGATGCGGACTGCGCAGCTCACAGAAACTGCAAATTGGATATGTTTGACATGTACTGCTGCGCTCATCACTGCCTGAAAACCTGGTTTTGGAAAAAGGAAAAGCTCCAGACTTTTGCAGGTATGCTGGGTTGATTAGACCCAGAATCCTGAGGACACCATAGAGAGCTTCGTTGGGCAGAGCTCTATGGGCCTCCTCTGCCCCCCTGCATACTGCATGAACATAAAGCATTGGGAATTGCGAAAAGTCCTTAGTAAACAGGGTTCCACACACACACACATCTGCTCCCCTATGGGAGTAGTAGGTGTGTACCCAACAAGGATTGTTGGTCTCATGAAATGTATAACATATAACACGAGGGCTGCAGCAAAAACATTGAAAAAGGAGCGTGTTGTTTAGGCAGTCCTGATGCACTGCGCTGTCAAAACTACAGCTTTTGTGCAAGATGCTGAATGTTTCAGTCATCCTCAGCTCTGAAAAAGTTTTTTACATATTTGAACTGTTTTTGAGAAGTCTCCATCTCTGTGGATGCCTCACCTCAAGAATATCCCCAACGATCCTCTTTTTGTTGATTGTCAAGTTGGAGGTTGTCGCTGCGAGGGATGGCTTCCCAAAATGAAATGTCAAAGTGATGGATCAATGCATCCAAGAAAACGTCGACCTGTTCAAAAACGGTTCCGAAAAAGGTCCAGGAATCATGGCCAGCAATCCAAAAATTACGGCCGCTGCATCCTGTTAGAAGCAGTAACAGGTCATTGGCCTTTCTGGCTGCGGTAATGGAAGAGGCGTCGTTGCCGACATACAATCGAAAGCAGAGGTCGGTGATCCAATCCCTGAACTCGCAATCCAGAATCTGCGGAACCGGACTCAACACATCATCATTGGGAGGACCTCGCACGTAATGCATTTTGGCTACATGCAAGACTGACCAAGCAAAAGAAAGGGCGTCAGGAAAACATAAATATGGATTGATGCATTGCGAATTAGGCTTGCATTGTACGCAAATGCATAGAGAGCTGAAAGTATTGTTCCGCCGGCGGTGGTCGAATGTCTTGAATTTCATGAAACTATATTGACCTTGGTTTCCACCTTAGGTGGTTTCCATGTGGTCAGGGTTGCTTGGTGCGCTAGGCTGACTCGGTGCCGATGCTCTGAGCATTGTTTCCAACTCCTGATCGGCTCGACCGATAGTTTCGGAAACAGGAGAACCTCGCCAAGGTCCCCAGTTTTCATCGGCCAGGTTTTTTGGGGGCCTCGATGCGCGGAGCTAAGGTTGAATCTCCAGCTGGAAAATCTGCATGAGACAGCTGCGACACTACCCAGACTCTGTACAGGCATGCGGCCACGCAACTTATCGCCCAGCGTTTATCGCTGCTAGCCAGAGGATAAAATTTGGCCAGGTACCCTTCGTGGCTTGCGCTTGCATTCTTACTGCGAATGCGGCCACATGGGAGAAGGCCACCAACAAGAATTCCACAGCTGTTTTTTGCGCTGTGGTGGAGGCCTGCAACCCATTGGGGTATGCCACCGGAATCATCAAGTCGCTGACCGTACTGGCTGCCCTGAAAAGCCGTGCAAAACCTGATAATCGTGCAAAACCGAAGGACTGGTACGAAATATCGGCCTGACTGTCAGGAAGCTCTTTTTGCGCTTCAGCAGCAGATATGAAATCGGAAGATCTGCGTTGAGCTTCACTCCCCATGCATACTTCTTTAACCAGCTCTGGCTTGATCCCGATCAAGGATCCTTTTGTAAATTGCTGCATCTCCTTCAGCCCTGTTTCTGAAAGCAAGTCCTGCGTTTTCATCGTCCAGTTCTGCAAAATCGCACGCATCATCAATTGCGTCTTCAAACGGAAACCACAGGGTCTTCCCATCGAATGAAGGTGGTATGTCCTGGGAAGACTGCGACATTCACGCTATGTCGTACGTTGACATTGCTTGCGTAGTGTACGCCTCCTCAGAGAGGTCCTCGTCACGCATGTCAGTGTACGCCGTGGCTTCTAAAGCTACTGCGGGAGCTTTTCTCTGCGCACATGCCTCGAGCACTAACTTCCTAAACCCTTAAGCGGCACACACCAAAACAACTTGTTGGCAACATGTCTGTACATACGACTGAGATTATCTAGACAGGGCTGCTCTAAACGCACCCCCAAACAAGCAAGCAAACAAGCACTTGCATGTTCACTCATGCGTTCACTGACTGGCTCCCTTCCCGCTGCTCCTGCCCATCCTCCCTGGCTGCTCTCGTCCTGTTCACGATTGTTATCACCTTCATCATCAGCATCATCATCCCCTTGGTTGTTGCAAGCAATCATGCTGGTGCACCACTTCGAGTGGCGATGTAAAGCATTCATCGCTACTGAAAAGGCACCTGCCAAGTGGTGCACCCCAGACTATTCATCACACAAACGGGCAGCCGCAGGGACTTCCTGACTATAGGATTTTGTGGGTTCAGGCAAGGAAATTGATGAGAAACATATAGAAATATCATATGGCAAGTCAAACAGCGAGTGGAGCGCATGCAGAACAGCAGAGGCCGCAAACATAGACACAAAACCTAGGCTCAACACAGCAACACGCCACTCAGAGGTGGCGAACTCGCCACTCATAGGTGGCAAACAAGCAAACAACAACAGACACGTACAAACACTTCTTTATAGCGAGAATCAGTTCAGTGGAAGCAGGTCTCGCCCCCTCCCCACAAGCCTCCGCTCGCGCTGCTCTTGCTGGTGTATAATGGTGGAAATAACGGTTTAACGGCCAGAACCCCGAGCAGCTGAGCCGGTTTCCAACCCACACCCATCCGCCCAGGAGGATTCACGGGGTCGGTGGAAATGGCGGCAGCCATGAAATATAAGGATTATATAGGGATTACATCTGTTTCGAAAGGCATGGCCTGGCCAAACTCCATGCCATCGGGGCATCGTTGCCTCTAGGTGTGGAGTAATAGCCAAAGTTGACGAGTCCGGCCCCTGCTGTCACCTGCTCCACATCCTCACACTCCTGGAAGCCGATGAGGTCCACGGGGTTCGCTGAAATGCGCTCGTAGAGCTGGTTGAAGCCCGTTCCAACAGCAAACTGGGGGCAGTTCCCAAACTGGTTGCTGATGCACCACCAGTAAAGGTTGTATGTGGCTACTGCCACTTTCGGCCCACTACACACCATTTGTAGGTTGGCTGCCCCTGAGATGGCCACGAACAAAGCCAAAAGTGTGTGGCATATCAGGAGGAAGCACGAGACAAGGTAATCTGGCAGGGGGTTGGGTTCATCATGTCAGATTTTGAGTCCAGCCAGAATTGAAAGTCGTCACCTCCTACCAAGCGCATGCCATGCAAGGGAAACCAAAGACTGCGCTTCATTGGAGCTCAAGACTAGGAGTGTTGCATTGGCATACCTGAGGACCCACTTTGTCTGGGAACTTCCGGGAACGGCTTGCAGTCAGAGCCTGCACATTGCACATATGCAGACTCCTACCTGCCCGCGCACAAACGAGTACTGTGAACCAGAAACCAGTGTGGCTGATCAACACGTCTGAACGAATTCCAGCCATGCTGCTAACAGCTGACAAAGTGCAGCCTGTTCGAGCCTTGGAAGCCGATCCTTCTACAAGTATCATCCGGTTGAGGCTTCCAACTAATTATCTCCGATGTCAGCTGTCATGCAGCGCAGGCATGTTCTCCTGCATTCCAAATAAGTTCGTTAAAAAAAGTTGATTGGAGGACCGTCCATAGACACATTGAGGCCATGCACAGTGGCATGACTTCTCATCCTGCGCTGGACGCCCTCCGAGGTTGTCTCAAAGGGCTCTTCAAGGTAGGCTTGCATTGAGCAACTAGACCTGTGTTGGCACACATGCTTCGGGGCCATTCTCTGGGGTAGTGCCCTCTGAGCAGCGCTGTATCGTGGGAAATATGCAGTCGGATCTCAATCATCCCTCCACGTGCTGGCTGGAGCCGCTGGAGTCTGTTGTTGGGACTGCGCGCGGGCAATGGTGCGCTAAAAGCACACTCTCTCCCTCTTTCGAACGATGATGTCACTAGCAGAATACGCTCAGAAAGAAGCTGGAGGCCGTAGGACTGGCCTGAGTATCGACCGAGTAGGCAGAAGAAAACGGAGATCAGCCACACCAGCATCAGTGCACCTGACGCTTCATTCATTGCAGTAAAGCAAGTAGCAACTGGTGACAACTCAAAAGGCCGCACCTAACAATCCGCTTCTCATGGCAGAGATGACCAGTGGGACTGGCCCTGAGTCAAGCGATTGAGTCTTCTTCGCCCCTTCTCAGCACATGATGTGCAGCACCTGCCTTCCAAGCCGGTAGCAGCTTCAGCAGAAAAACCTGTACGTTCTTGAAATGCGAGCAATGCTGACCTCAGACCGGACGTATGCGGAAGTGCGAATCAGCCACCGACTTCCAGTGGTTTAGGCATGGCACAATGAAGCCAGCAGCAAGGCCTGCAGCTCGGCCGCAAGGTATGACATGCTCTGGACATGCTGCATCACACTCAAGGTTCGAAAGATTCGAATAACTTCTGGCTAGGTTGTGCTTGTCACATCTTGTCCCTACACGGCACGGTGACTGCAAGGGTCACAGGGCAAACTTTGGACAACCTGGCCTGCCGAAAATGGCTTCTAACAAAGCTTGACCTCACAAGGGCTACGCTTCCCATCAGCAGGCAGACAGGCCATTCTGAGAGGTATACGGGACTGCGTTTGTGTCGGTGATGCCGCAGACTAGCCTTGCCGGTACTCGCGTGCGAAAGGACACAATCGTACCACACAGTACAGGCGGGATTTAATTCCTTCAAGGCCCCGTGCCAGCTGGCTGCCGTAAGCGCCCCGAGCGGGGACGACACAGGCGCTGTCAGAATCATGAGAAAGCTCCACCTCAGAGTCCTACCGCTCAAGCGCTCTGAGGGCATCTTGTCAAGACTTTGGCTCCGGCAGGCTTGCTGCACCTTACAAAACAAAGCATTGCTTCTGAGCAAACATCTCTCATTGTCTCTCTTTGCGCCCTCGGATCAAGGTAAGGCCCAGGCCGCCTACACGGCCAGCAAACGCTGGAGCCAACAATCGCAAGGCTCCTCTTCAGATCGTCTGGATATGTCTGGACAATGTCGTGAGTGACATTCGCAGGAAATCCTGCCAAAGGAAGAAGGTACCCAAGCGTCGCCATGCTCCGCTGAAGGGCACTTGGCCTGCAAAGTTGCCGTGTTGCTTCTCTTGACTTGATTCTAACACGGAGACCTACACAGGCCTCTGCTTCGAGGTCTGTGGCAGAAGTCCTGCAAAAAGGACCCTCGAGCCTGACGACCCTTCAATTCAAAGACCCCCATCCTACCCATCCAAGTGGTCCGGGGGAAATTTAAGAATTTACATCAGGGACGACGGCTCATTACACACTCTGCTTTGCTCGCAGTCGTCCACATGCCAGTGAAACGCATCATGATGAATCTGCAGAACGCAATGGACCGGGAATGTCCAACCACATGCTGGACTTGAAGTCTCGTAAGTTTCTCTCTTGCAGTCATACATCCAGACTGTGTATCCAAATTGCATGCTCAGTCGAGTTTTGTGCAATACCATAACCGTCGTAACCCAAACAGGCAGGAGAGCGAATACGAATGCAGACAAATGAGGATAGATGTCCTGCCAATCTCAGACGACTCCAGCGCCATAGCCTGGCCAAAGACAAGGCCGAAGAGCTGGCGGCGTGATCTTCTCTGGAAAGCTCGTTATATGCAGATTCTGCAGCTCTGATCTTGATGGACTCTTCAACACACTTGCACCTTACACAGCACTCAAGGCACCTGCGATGGGGCAGAAAGTAGGCCGCAATGTATGCGTTGAACCTCACCCACTTGGTTTGAGCCGTGCTGAACTCATCAATGCCGACAGACTCAGACTGAGTACGAAGCTGTCGTGTAAACTCAGGATCCACATCCCTAGCCACGCAAATCTTTCAAGCAATCCTCTCAGAGCACGTTTGGCGCACCTGTCGTTTGGGGTTCTCGCGCTGCTCTGGGCGCCGTCCCCTTCCTCCTGAGCTCCGTCTATGTGGCGACTTCAGCATGGTGCAATATGGTTTTCATGATTGAGACCCTGACGCCAGAAGATTCCCCGGCAGCTGCTTTCCCATGTTGCGAACTACAGGCACGTCGCATGCCTGCATCAACACGGGCATGGGTCAGTGGGGAGAAGCGGTGCATCACTGATCCGTTGAGTCGAGGGGAAGCGATTACTTCGTAGCCCCAGTAGATGCCCCGTTTGGGATGGTACCTACCCATCTGACTAATCCACGTACCATCACGTACACATATGCCACGGCCTCGAACGAGAATTTAAGAGTGAGATTTGCAGAGCTGGGCATGGAGCCTTTAAGGCTGTTGCCCTTTCTACTGACCTCATTGCTTCCGCCTCTGGAGCTCTGGAGGCTGAGACGAACCATTGAAATCACTGAATATGTTAAACAGGGGGTAGTTCTGTTTTGTTAGAGTGGCCAGCTCGGCTCGGCTCGGCCTCGGCGTAGAAGACACGAACTGCACGTGCTCAGAGCAATCCTCGGTACCTGACACTTTCCCAGTTATCCCCATTGCCCACAAACCCAATCATTCCCAAAGGCGCTTACCAGCACAGTTCCTGCGCCATCCGTGCCATGAGTGCCTCTGCGCACCTGTCCTGAGCAGAAAGCCGTCAACGGCTTGTGTGCAATTGCCGCGTGCTCAAGCGCCTCTCGGAATGTTCCGCGCCGGACAGGGTCCAGCATCCACCTGACAGCTCGAGGCTCAAGCCTGTGAACCCGTGAGGGGCCGGGGAAGCCCTGGGATCCGAGCTAAGCTGTTCAACCGAAGGGTCGGTGGCAGCCTGGCACCACTTCCACTGATGCTCATGAAAACAAACCGAAGCCGGCATCCAAGCCGGCGACGCAGGCCTTGAAATGCCGTAGGCCATTGCGATTGCACTCGAGTGCAGGACAAACTATCCATTCTCTACTCTACGCTCGAGTACACAGTTGCCGGAAAACATCATGAAGCCTGTCATACATGTTTTGGTTGACTCAGCTCAACTGTCCAGAAACATGCTTTAAGAATTCTGCCGCAGTTTTTTTCCGCTGGCCACGCAGAGAACTACCAACATACACAAGCACGCACAATGAGATACATGTGCCAACCCAACCCAGAACCTTGCTGCCATGAGTTTTCTAGCATAAGCAGAACATCTAAGGAGTCTAAGAGCACCTCTGAACCTAGGAGGCCATGCCTTCGAGCTTGGCAGGGCCGGTATCAGGGGCCCCATTTTGGATGGCTTTTGGCCTTGGAAAGTCGACCACAAGCGCATGTATGCTCTTTGCTTAAGCTACACGGGAGCCACCTCGGTCCAAGTGTTAGTCACTTCTGGGCGCAGAGCTTTGGCTTGTAACACTCCCTGAGACCTGAGATGGTATGTCTCAAAGCCAGAAAACCCAAAGAAGCTGGCACTGCAGCGAACCAATCTGTCAAGCGCTTGGATTCTTGCGCGTTCGCTTCTGGCCTCTGGCTTTCTCTGCGAAGATGCCTTCTGTGGTGACCCCGACCTGACACCAATCCAAGAGGGCTGCTTCTCAAGTATGTTCAGCATGAGTTGCATGTGTGGTGCTTGCTGCATCATGGGAATCCCACAAGTCCCTCTCCAACCACCAGGAAAAGGTCAGTCACAGGAACAAAGGACCTGGCAATTCAGATGCGGAGCGTTGAAGGCACCCTACGAGGCTTCAGGAGGCTCAAAGGATCCCGCCATTCTGGTGGCGTTGCCCCAGGCTCGAGAGGTTCTAGGCCTCGAGATGTTGACATCTCCTGCGACCATGCGATCACATGCTTGGCAAAAGATGCACTCGGCAAAGGAAGCTCAACAGCCTGCAGCGCATTGCAAGATGTGCTACTTGTCAAACTCAACCGGGTCCTTGCCATCCCAGCCAAATGTCTTGGCTGTTTGATGGTCCGCTCCTCAAAACATCAGGAAGTTGCTGCGGATGATGTCAAGTGCTGGGAGCCCTCATGCTGCATTAAAAATTGGCCACTACCGTTGCTGAGCAAGACCTCCCTGCAACATGGACGAATCAAAAACAGTTCTCAGCCAGCGCATTGGGTTTGGCGATGCTGGCCGAGGCGCTTGCAACACTCGCATGAGCTATGCCCTCTTGTTGTCAGCCAGAGTAGAGGGAGCATAGCTTCCGAGACATGAAACTGCAGTGCTTTGTTCTTCTTGTCCCAGTCCGCTGCCGGGATGGTGACAGACAAGGATGGATACAGCTTAGTGTCAGAATGAATTCATGGCCTCGATGTTTGAGGATTTCCTGTCTGCCTGGAGTGATATGGGCTTGCATTAGAGATTCAGAGACGGTTTTTTGGAGAGACCTTGCAAATGCCACAGAGTCTGAGTGCAGAAGGCTCAGTAGCTACGAGGTAGTTAGTCGCTGCTGTGCTCAAGAAAATGCCTACACAAGTTGAAAATCGGCTTCTAATCTCAGCCGCTAGGTCAACGACCTGGAAGTCTCCCAAGTGCGGACGAGCTGCTGAAAAGACCCAGGAAGCGATTCGCCTCAGTCTGCTGTATCCATCTGACGATGTCCTGCCAGCAGGATGCAAAGCTTCAGGCGATGAACGGCAGAGGTCCGGAAATATGCGTGTTATGCGGTCTCTGGCCTTCCACAGCAGAAGCCCCAACTTCCTCACCTGGCAACTCTCTGATCTTCCCTAGAGCTCTGAAATTGCACTCTCACCAGTGCTCATGGCTCATAGCCTCATAGCTCCTGTGAATAGTGGAGATTCTTAGGGTTTGCGATGTTTCTGCATACAAGATGATATCAATCTGGTGCATTTTGCTGTTTGGACATATTCAATGATCGGCACAGGAACACTGCTAATTCTAGACTTATGTGACGCCTGGTAGCTTTGATTCACTCAGGTTTTGGAACCCGGCCACGTACCGGCATTTCTCGCTCAACTTCCGAATTTTGTAGGCTAGGACTCGGGCACCGAGCCGCGCGCTGGAGTTGAGTAGAAAGTGTGCAAGGCCCAAGGCAGCTGCCCTTTGACAGAGTTCCAGCTCTGACTACCTGGGTGTCGAACCTGCCTTTCACTGCAAGACTAAAACGTCTGCGACACACTTTCGTCATGCTGCATGTTTGGTCTCATGACAGTTGACGCGTCGGGACTCGTGGTTGCCTCCGCATCTGTGAGAGGAATGGCAGCATCCTTATGAGCAACACCCTTGCATGTTGAATCGTTTGCGCTGGCTCCTGTCATGCGAGATTGTTGGGATCCCGACGAAGCCACTTGGCAAAATGGCAGCCATCGTGGATCGCCACTTTCGTGCCCACTTGCAAGCACGCCAACCAGCAGTTGGATGGACCTCAGCACATCCTAAGTTTGGTGGCTATGCCACCACACATTTATTGCTGAGTTACTCATTCCCGAACCATTCACAAATTACAAGTTGCCTAAACAGCGTTGACCACCTGCCCCAGCTGGTCAGGCTGGCGCTGTCACGTGGCATTGATTTCCACAGAGCAAACACTACTGCCCTGGAATTTCTGAGGCATTCACTGCGATGACCTCACGAGCATCTCGCATCGGGGGGAGCTCGGCAGCCTCCTCAAACAGAAGTGCATCCTAACGGGGGCACTATAGGCCTATTATGTCTGATTTTCATGATCTTCCGACTTGTTTCGTGCGACTGCACGCACGATGATCCAGCTATGTTGACTGGCATCATGTAATAACGTTGCCAGGCTTTCCTCCGACTGATTTGGTTTCTGCCCATCGTCATCGCTGGTTGTCCATCGTGCCTCCAGAGGCAGGGGAAGTAAGGGTGTGATCCAGCCATTTTGTCTTGAAGAAGGATTTGCCTCCCAAGCCAAGTCTCGCTTTCGTTCCCGTTCCTGAAGCAGGAGCGTAGAGCAAGAAAGCTGGCCAAAGGAGCACTGATGAATCTAAGCCAAGAGCTGCCATGGAACCTCTGCCACGGCCTGCAGGAATCAGAAACGCTTCATTTTGATGTCAAGCTGATCTCCAGCTCAGGACATGGCTTCGAATCGGGTTTCGCTCATACCAGTTGGTGTCATCTCTGTGGCGCCGGCCATCGTCTACCTGTCAGGGAATGATTCATGACAAAATCAGAAGTGCCCAGAAGCTGTGATTTCCGATATGGCCGCGTCTTGTTAGAATGCCTGCGCCTCCGCGTGCTTGCACGCTCCAGAGGTGTGTGCATGAACAGGATTAAACAAGTATAGTAGAGGAGGGAGGTGGGATGGAGTATGGAAGGAACTCAAGAATCACAAGACTTGTTCTGCATGTTTAAAAGCTCCAACATTGCTAGGGTAAAGCTCCGAGAATGTATCGCGGGCTCAGTGCTCTGGACATCGCACTTAGAGTCCAACTCTGTTGATGCACTGGTTGATGGTTGCAGCATGTCAAAGCATTGGCTAGAATACAGTTTCGAAAGCCTCGTCGTCGTTGGAGCGTCGGCTCTTCTTGTCGTCGCGTTCTCGACGCCGCCGACTTCGACTCCTGCTGACCGTCCAGAATACACATTCCACAGGAATTCAAGGTGCAGAGAATGCTTCTGCTTTCAAGGTCATTTGCCGCTCAGGTGAGGTCCTTCTCCTGCTCTTGCTCCTGAATGCCCGCATTCTTGCTCACTGCTCATCACTGCTCACAAGCACAATTCTACTGCGACTCCTGCTACGCTTGCCCTGCTCGGCTGGCGCATCCTGCTGCATTCATTGTGCGAACAGCATCACTGATTGCATCAACGGAGCCTGTAAGCCGCTTCACACGTGTGCAGAGGACAGATTGTGTGCAGAGGACAGATTTGCTGCTGAGACAGCAGATTCCAAACAGCTTCATCAGGCCTCTGGGGGTGCTTCCACAGGCTCACCGCTGCTATCCCAAACGCGCGCATGGATGGCCTGAACATTCGCATGAGAATGTCTTCCAACGGAATCCACGCATACAAGGAAAGTCATCCTCACCCTGGACAACACATACATTGGCTCTCGGTACAAGATTTAGCAGTTGGTCAGTTGACAGATGCAGCTTTGTGAGATTGCAGGCCTGACGCAGCTCACGCCAAAGGCTCATCTCCGGAAAGGTCTGCATTATTTTCGGCCAGCCTCACCATTGCTGTTGCGTCGCGTGGACCGCATTCAAACAAGCATAGAGGCCGCTCTTCCGATCAGTTGCGTCCACCACCGAGCAGTGCCGAAGAACAACTGAATCTTGTTCCGATGTCTTGAAGGAAACTCAGTGAGTTGCTGCCGCGAACGCAGTCATTGAAGCGCTTTGCCTGTCAGAACAAGGTCGTGCGAAGTTGTGGTCTTCGCCAGGCGGCGTCCAGTGCTGAACTCACTGCCTCCGCCATGGCTGCCCTGTTGAGGAGGCACAGAAACTGTGCCCTGAAGCATTTGGGAGCCTGCCAGCTACTTTGCAGGCTCTGGCCTTGCAACCTACCCACAGTGAACTCAGTGAACATCCTCACCAGGGCCCAAACACAGTCATATGCTGTCCTTATCGGCACCTAGGTATTGTGGCCAGTTGACTTTGGCATCTGCTTATTCCGCAGACCCAAGAAGCTTACGCTGGCATACAGATCGAGCAAGTGCGTCTTCTCAAACCTTGATTTCACATGAAATGCCGTGAGCAATCAGGCTTGGGCAGGCTACCACCGTCTTGCGACACATCAATGAGAATAACGCCACTCTGCCATCAAGGTCTGCATGTGGCAGCTGTAGAACATTCGGGATGATCGCCTGAAGCCAGCTTTTTTGAATTCGACCGGTTCACGCGTGATTACATGTGATGCGCGACAGTCGACTAACTACACAGTAAACAACTCGCTGGGTGCAGACCAGCTGCTCAAACTTGACGTGAGCTCGTGCCTGAAATGCCAAACACGTGGCAGCAATGGCAAAACTTTGGTGGGCTGACAGAGAGCAGATGAGCATGGCAAGCCGGAGCAACGCTGGACCTGTGCGACGCTCGAGACCTCTCCCTCGGTCACAATGCCGCACACGGCACCTGGGATACAACGCAAGATGACCCAAACCGTACTGCAGCATTGCTGGCGAAGCTAGCACCGATGACTTGCAAGGCCATCACACAGCAGTCTGCTGGCTTCCGCAAACAAGGCCTGCGAATGTCAGCACACATCTTAACAAGATTGCAGGTGTTGCTCAACCTCTGCAGTGCCATGGTTGCCTCCTGAGGCCGTTCTAGCATCGTCTCCGTGGCAGTACCGCCCATGACGCCCACCTCATTGAATACGTTGAACAATGTTGAACAATGTTGAATATGTAAGCTGGCAGCCACTGAGCCACTGGTTAGCCCCGGGTCTGGCACAATGAGCTTCAAGGCGTGGCGCTGCTCCTGGAGCCCTTGCCGAAGTTCCTCGGATGCCTACAAGCAAGGTCCGCCGCGTGCACTCAGATCAAGGTTTGCAAAGCTCTTGTTTTGGCCTCAGAGAGTCTGTGGAAGGCAGCCTGAGCCTCAAAAAATCACGCTGCAGTGCAGCCAGAAAGGAGCTGACGCAGACATGCCGCAGCCTTGTCCAGATCAGGATTCTTGTCGGGGTGGAGAGCTCGAGAAAGCTGTCAAGCACGCTTCGAGCACTCTGAAGGTCTCAATTGCATGCAGCCATGCAGCTGCTCCTGACAACAACAGGTTGCCTACAGCCATCTTGCCTGGCGGTATGCGTAGGCAATGTCTGACTCCCCGTATCCGCCCAGGTGAGCCCCACCCAGTCGCAGCACGGCTCCAGCGAAAGGGACTCGCCCATCCTTTCCCAACTGGACATACGTCATGCGTGTGGGTTGCGCAGCACCCAGCCTCTGGACAAATACGCACAACCTCGTCTGCTGGCAGGCCCACAAGGATCTTCTGTTCCTTGTGGGCATCTGCTACCTCGAGGAATGGCAGAGCAAGACAGAGGTATGTCTCGCAACTTGACTGATCACAGGACAGAAGAACAGGTTGGAGTGAAGTGGTGTTGGCTCTTTGTGCTTGGAGGTGCTTTCTTGGCAATAAGAACAGCGAACCAAATAATTGCGACAGCAATCATTCATAGCAAGTGCAGCAAAAGTAGCATCAGCAGCGGCAGGAGGACCCTTTGAGTTTGGCCCCAGAATTGTTCATCTCGATGCTCCGAGCTGAGATACCTCTGAATTGCACAAAGGCTACACAAAGGCTACTACTTGTCCCGGGGTTAACACACATCACGCGGTGAGAATACACCTCATCTACTGCGGACGCTGGCGTTGGGAAGATTTCACATCAGCGGGATATTTACACATCAG